TTATAAAAAAAACAAGCCAAAAAATTGCAGAATTCGGTCAAAAATTGACAAAATCTCAAGTTTTTTGCAAGATTTAGCTAAGAGAAACTGAAAAATCAAAAAATTAAGCCAAAAATTATATTATTTTTTTAATTCTCAACCGTCTTAGTACATTTTTCAGTTAGAAACAAAATTATTTTTAGGAACTTTTTATAATAAAGTTTTCGGCTTTTTCGCTATTCTGTTTATTTTATTTTTTTTCTAAATGTAGTCCATCTCTCCCGGACTTACCCTATAATACGTTTTTTGCGCAAATAAATATTTCCGTTAGAAGAGAATAGGACCGTTGAGAATGAATTAAATTTAAAAAAATCACAAACACAAAACATCAAAAAAGTCGAAAATTTTATCAATAATTGTTTTTAAGTAAAGAAACTATAAATAAAAAACTTTAGTATGTAATTTAAGAAAAAAGAGTGATATTATTTTATTCAAAAAATAAAATTCTCAAGAAATCAAAAAATCAACAGATTTAAACAGGCTAAAAAAATACAAAGTTAAATCCTAATCTGTTTTTGAACCATCAACTCATTGATTTCAAAATTTTGCCCAAACATGCCCAAAAATCACAAAAATAAATGGAACTTGATGCTGTTTTGTTATTTTTGAGCAAAATTAAGACAAAAATATCTCGAGAAACCACAAAATTAGATCGAAAACGCCTTTAGGGACGTTTTTATACTACAATTTTAAGTTTTTTGAGAAATTAGGCTATACGAAATCAACAAATCAACACATTTAGTCAAAAATCATATCAGCCGGTTTAGCAAGTTTTAAGCTAAAAACGCCATTATTTTGCAAAATATTATAAAAAAAACAGGCCGAAAAATTGTAGAATTCGGTAAAAATGATGTCATTTTTGACAAAATCTCAAGTTTTTTGAAAGATTTAGCTAAAAGAAAAATCAAAAAATTAAGCCAAAAACTACATTATTGTTTCATTTCTCGACCGTTTTAGTATATTTTTCGGTTAGAAACAAAATTATTTTTAGGCACTTTTTATAATAAAATTTTAGGCTTTTTCGCTATAAAAAATCAAAAAATCCACAAATTTAATAAAAATTATAGTATTATTGCATTTTTCGACCGCTTTCTGCAAAATATTATAAAAACAAACCAAAAAACCGCAGAATTCGGTCAAAAATGATGCAGTAGGTACTTGGGAAATTTCAATTTTGTTTATTTTTTTCTAAATGTAGCCCATCTCTCCCGGACTTACCCTATAATACGTTTTTTGTGCAAATAAATATATCTGTTAGGACCGTTGAGAATGAATTAAATTGAAAAATTTTCCCAAACACAAAACATCAAAAAAGTCGAAAATTTTATTAATAATTGTTTTTAAGTAGGTAAAGAAAATACAAATAAAAAACTTTAGTATGTAATTTAAGAAAAAAAAGTGATATTATTTTATTCGAAAATCAAAATTCTCAAAAATGTAAGGGGAATGCGAGAAAGATGGACTCTTACATATCAGAATTAGTGAAATTATATTTAAAAATTTTTTTCAATAACATTTAAGTATATTTTTAAAGAGAAGACACTCTCAAAAATTAAACAAAGTTTTTCCTGAAACCTGTTTTAAGTGTTTAGATTTAAAATGGAAATAATTGTATAGAATTTTCAATTTTCCTTATCAAAATTTTGGTTTCTGTTAGAGGAGGGTGGGGTATATTGGACCGTATGGTAACAAAACGCAAAAACAAATCGATTAATTATTATTCTTTTTTTAAACAAAGTAGAAAAATAAATTTTGATAAAACTAAAAACATGTTTAATTTGTCACAAATAATAAGATTTGAAGAAGCCAAATATTGAAATACATTTGTTTGTATAAGATCCCAAAAGTAGATATTTTACGGACTTATTTAAATCCTAAAAATGAGTTTTTTCCGGCTCAATAAAATTGTACGTAAAATAGTTATTTTAGGTTCTATTTTTTAGTTTTTTTCACACTATTTTATGTTATTTTCACTTACTATTTTCGAGAAATTCATCATACATAATACGACATTTAAATGAGTTTTAAGCTATTTTTTTACTTAAATTTTTTACGAAAAATTTAAAAAACTTGGAAGTGTGAACAGAGGAATTTTTGTTTTTATAAAATCAAAAGTTGTCACAAGAAAACTAAATATTGAAACAATAAGATTGAAAAAGTAATAAAAAAACTAAAAAAAACACAAATCTAAATTTGTGTAAAATTTCGGGAACTGCTAGCGGAGAGTGCTCTATATTGGACTAAACTATAAAAAAATTCAAAACCAAGATTAAAAAAAAAATCCAAAAAACTATCGGATTTTGAACTTGTTTTACTTTTGTGCAAAAATTAGAACACTGCGCGAATCCGATGAAATATTTTAATCGAATAAAAAAACTCCGGATTCAATAAAAATGCAATTAAAATATTGCCTTATTTGAAAACAATTTTGTCAAGTTGGTAATAATTAGCAAAATATTTGAGTTCGTTGAACTATTTTACGTAAAATACGATCGATTTCGGAGAGCTTCGGGTACCCGGATTGCGGAGAAATGGTTTCAGTTACCTCCGGATTTTGCCGGAAACCTCCAAAACCAAACAAAATCTCAATTGTATTTTGATTTGAAAATTTGTAATTCTCATTTAGTAAACTACTCTAACATCCCAATATTTCCATTTTTGCCTCCACTGAAAAACGTTTTTTGAAGCTTTTGAAGCTCCTTCAGGACAACAATCTGAACTTTTAATTTTTTCAGAATTTTAGAATCCTTTAAATTTTCAATTTCACTTAAATGAAACAAAAAAATTATATGTGTAGACATTGATTTGTTGGTAAAAATTCACCAGATCTGGTGATTTTCGTGCTATGATGATTTAGTGAAAATGAAAAAAAATAAAAAAAAAATTTTAGTGAAACACGATTTCCGATTACTGATAGAACACATTAGATCAAAAATGAATGATACTTTTTTTATTTTTATTTTCGAGAATTATTTAGGTACGTTTTCAAATTAGAAACTTAATTATTCGCCATTTTATTTCAAAAAAAATCGAAATACTACCAATTTGGTCAAAAATACTTTTATTTTTTGTAAGATTTTACTAAATACGAAAGTGATATTTTACTTTTACCTTTTTCGAATGTTTTACAGTTTTCTGTCAGAAACACAATTTTTTTGTAAATTTTGTAAAAAACTAGTCAACAATTTAACAAAAAAAGCCTTTTTGAGTTTTGAAGCACATTTTTGAGATCATTGTATTTAAACTGACTGAAAAATTACCACAATAAATTGAGATTGATGTTATTTATTTTGTTTCACTCGGTTTAACTGATTTTTGGGCAAAATCTCAAATTTTACGAAAGATTTCGCTAATACCAACTGAAAAATCAAAAAATTAAGTCAAAAATTATATTATTTTTTTATTTCTCGGCCGTTTTAGTACATTTATTTTTCAGTTTGAAACAAAATTATTTCGCAAAGTTTTGTGAAAAACAAACCAAAAATTCAATACAATCTGCCAGGAATAGTGCCATTTTTGTCTTTTTCGAGTGTTTAACCACGTTTTTAAAATAATAACTATAAATTTTTGAAAAATTTTGTTTAAACAGGCGGCAAAAATACAAAATTAAATCTAAATTTGTTTTTTTGAACCAGAAACTTATTTATTTTTCAAAATCTTGCCCAAACACGCCCAAAAATCACAAAAATAAATTGAAATCGATGCCATTTTGTTATATTTGAGCAAAATTAAGACAAAAGTATCTCGAGAAACCACAAAATTAGGTCGAAAACGCCTTTAGGCACGTTTTTATACTAAAATTTTAAGTTTTTTGAGAAATTGGGCTATAAGAAATCAAAAAATCAACACATTTAGTTTAGCAAGTTTTTCAGCTAAAAATGCAATTATTTTGCAAAATGTTATAAAGAAAAACAAGCCAAAGAATTGCAAGATTCTCAAGTTTTTCGAAAGATTTCGCTAAAAGAAACTGAAAAATCAAAAAATTAAGCTAAAAATTAGATTATTGTTTCATTTCTCGACCGTTTTAGTACATTTTTCATTTAGAAACAAAAACATTTTTAGGCACTTTTTATATTAAAACTTTAGGCTTTTTCGCTATAAAAAATTAAAAAATCCACAAATTTAATCAAATGTTATAGTATTATTGCATTTTTCGGCTGCTTTTTGCAAAATATTATAAAAACAAGCCGAAAAATCTCGGAATTCGGCATTTTTGCCTTTTTCAAGTATTTAAGCACATTTTTAAAATAAAAAATTACAAAATTAAATCGAAATTTTTGCTCAACAAACTCAATGAAATCAAAAATGATTTCTCCATCGTTTCAGAACGTTTTTGAGTTATAAACGCAATTATTTTGCAAGATTTTTCTCTAGGGCGCAAATTCTGCAGGTCGAAAATGTTAAAAAAAATTGGTGCAAAAAAAATATGTAAAAATCATTCATGTGTCAAGTGAAGTAAAATTTAAATACTTTGCAAAATTTTGATATTTGAGAAAGTAAATTTTGACACTTTCATAGCTGGAAGCAAATAAGCTTTTTGAGTTATTTTTTTTAGTCTTAATGTTTGATTTTTTTTTTTCAAAATTTCTGTTTATATTATTTTTAGTGTCGAGTAAAACGTGTTTTATAGAAAATGTCAAGTTTGATTTTTGAATTTTGGACTCGTTTTTACCCTTTTTTGACCCGGATTTTCATGAAATGGGGCAAAGCCACCTTATTTTTTTCCCACTTGTGCCCAAAAATCCCGAATCAGCGCCAACCTTGACTGCATACAAGTCCCCGCCACCTCGACCCATGGTGTGAGAGTTAATTAGGGCGAATCATTACCAGATGTCGGCTCATCACCGTCGCAAAATTCTCCAAATAATTTAGTATTAATGGTGGCGGAAATGGCATAGGCCGGAAATGATTGCATTGCATCCCTGATGGCTTCCTGCATCGAGTGTGTTTTGTTTTTTCAGGCGGCCAACACACGGCCTACCGGGCCATAGGCCTGGGGCAGCGGCCCTTCCTCGACGGCTCCTTCTCCACGCATTTGCGCGACTTGGAAGCGTACAAAAAACAGCAACGTGGGGGCCCCTCGTCGCAGAGCAGCGACGGCTCGCAAAGCTCCTACAAGCAGGACTCGCAAGGTAAGACTCCGGAGTTGCCGGAAATATGGCAGGCGTGACCACAGACTCCGGGTGTGCTAGTGACACGTCCGTAATTGGGCGGCGTCGCCGCCCGGATTTTGACATTGACATCAGCGACCGGATTATTAAAGTGTCATTTTGTTTCTTAATTAAAATTACTATGCGATGATGGGAGAAAAATCAGTGTAATGGTTCAAAGATTTCGAAACTTTCGTTTTCATGCTTTGTAATTTTTTAAGAAATCGGATAACTGTGTAATCGACGACTGATAATCGCTTGTAATATTTACACTTTGTGATTTTTTCGTTTTTAGCACAATTGTGTCAGTTTTATAATCAGAGAGGAATGGTTTTTACGTGATTTTTTTACGATCAAATGGAGTGTAGCTAAGCGTGGATTTAGATCGCGAAAATTACACAAAAACTTATTCAAATCAAACGAACCAAAAGCTAGGAAAAAATAAGAAAGCGATGAAAAATTAAGCAACTTTTTTACACAAAAAAAAGGTCTCGAGGACCTCTAGAAATGTAAAAAAACGTTATTTGGTTCATTTTTAGAGTTGGCATTTTTTTTGATTTTTGTCGAGATTTGACAATTGACAATAACTCCGGACTTATTGGTGATAACTGCTTATTTTTGGTACCATCGGAAAGAAAATTTAATTTTCCATCATATACAAAAAAGATCAGTGTTCTACCATAAATAATAAGCGAGAAAATTTCTGATAAAGTTAGAAATTTCAAAAATTTAAATTCGACTAGTCCTAGATCAAAACGGTGTGTTGTACGGTTGATTTTACATAATTTTACGGAATCTGGTAAAAATTCACCAGATTTGGTGATTTTCGTGCTAGTTTGATAATTTAGTGAAAATGAAAAAAATTAATTTTTTTAGTGTATTAACACGATTTTTTCAATTATTGATATAACACATTAGATCAAAAATAAATGACACTTTTTTATTTCTATTTTCGAAAATTTTTTACGTTTTCTAATTAAAAACTTGATTATTTCGCTAAATTAAAAAAAATAATCGAAAACCACCAATTTGGTTAAAAATAATTCTATTTTTTGCGAAATTTTACTAAAATAGGGTCGAAAACGACAATTTACTTTCGGCTTTTTCGAATACTTTACATTTTGCACAATTATTTTGTAAAATTAAGTCAAAAATACAAAAAATAAACCTTTTTTGAGTGTTGAAGCACATTTTTACGATAATACAAAATATATTTGAAAAATTGTTTTTAAATTGACTAAAAAATTACAAAAATAAACTGAACTTGCTGTTATTTTTGTTTTGTTTCGGTTTAACTGATTTTTGGGCAAAATCTCAAGTTTTTCGAAAGATTTCGCTAAAACAAACTAAAGAATCAAAAAATTAAGTCAAATATTACATAATTTTTTATTTCTCGGCCGTTTTAGTACATTTTTCAGTTAGAAACAAAATTATTTCGCAAAATTTTGTGAAAAACAAACCACAAATTCAAGAAAATATGCCAAGAATGGTGCCATTTTTTGAGTGTTTAACCACGTTTTTAAAATATCAACTATAAATTTTTGAAAAATTTGTTTTTTTGAAACAGAAACTCATTTATTTTTCAAAATCTTGCCCAAGCACGCCGAAAAATCACAAAAATAAATTGAAATGGATGTTATTTTTTTTTGAACAAAATTAAGTCGAAAACGCCTTTAGGCATGTTTTTATACTAAAATTTCAAGTTTTTTGAAAAATTAGGCTATAAGAAATCACAAAATCAACACATTTAGTCAAAAATCATATTATTATTGCATTTCTCAGCCGGTTTAGCAAGTTTTCAGCTAAAAACGCAATTATTTTGCAAAATATTATAAAAAAACAAGCTGAAAAATTGCAGAATTCGGTCAAAAATGATGTCATTTTTGACAAAATCTCAAGTTAACTTCATATTTTTGGTACCATCGGAAAGAAAATTTAATTTTCTATCATATACAAAAAAGATCAGTGTTTTACGATACATAGTAATCGAGAAAATTTCTGATAAAGTTAGAAATTTCAAAAATTTAAATTCGACTATAACTTCAAAACAATTACGAGTCCTAGATCAAAACGGTGTGTTGTACGGTTAATTTTACATTTAGTACCAGTTTTTCATAAAAATCAATAAATGTTGATTTTTGGTCAAAATCGGATATAGTGCTTTTACTTTTAGCCTTATTCTTAACTTTATTACTCAATATCTCAAAAACTATGCATCGTAGAGTATTTTAACTTGTTGCATCGTGTTCAGCGCGTAATTTGACGTCTAGAAAACCATATTTCAAGCGTTTTTACGACTTAAGGTAAATTGACAATTTTTTTACGATTTCACTACCTTCAAAAACTCAAAAAATTCGTAATTTTTTAAACTTGACCCAATAACGTTTTATGTACTTTTTTAAGTTTTAAAGACCTCTAGAAATGTAAAAAACTTTATATGTATCAATTTTAAAATTAAATTTGATTTTTGTCAATTTTTGGCACCCGGAGCGGTCTATTGCCAATAACTCCGGACTTATTGATGATAATCTTTAATGTTTCGTACCATTGGAAAGAAAATTTAATTTTCTATAATACACAAAAAAGATCAGTGTTATACGATCTCGAGAAAATTGCTAATAAAATCAAAACAAGCTAAAATTTCTAAAACTTTATTAAAAAACCGAAAGAAATACATAAATGGGTCTTAAAATAGTCATTTACACTTATTCGGCTATTGTAATGTAATAAAACATAATTCCAAGGCCTTGTTAACCGTTTTTATATTGTTTGTTCTCTCCTTGACAATCCTTTATTTCCCCATTAAAACTGAGTATATTTTCCTAATTTTTTATTCATCTTGGAATTTTTATCGATTGGCGTATTTACAAGAACTCCAATTGCGTCATTTCCCCACACGACAAACTAACACAAAATCTGGAAATCCTACACTTGTTATAATTCATTAATCGCTTTCTTTCTTTTTATCTGTCTTTATTTCCGTCTGACGTCACCAACCTCTTCCTTTTTCTTATTCTTCACCCAGCGATAAAAAAAAAAAAACAAACAATTGGCGCCCAACTCTCATCCATCGACAAACATGTAAATAATCTCTACAATTGTTGCGAATTTATCACTGAAACAATGAGTGATTCATTCCATGTGCTTGGCAGACGTCAAAGCTATTTAAATATTAATCTGTGATTCACCGAAAATATGAAACAAATTAATGACATGTGCCATCTCGATTCTTACAACCGGAAGTCGTACTATGGCACGAAAGCGTAACGAATTCTCGATTGGTCAAGTAGTGCGTGCAAAACAAAAAAAAAAAAATTTCGAGAATATGTTGTAATCAAGTCGGCTATAGTGTCACGGCTGGCTAGATCATGTTGTGTTATCAAAAAAGCGATTTCGATCACGTAGAGATTTATGAATGGGAAGCAGCCGAAGACCATTTCCAATCTAATATTCAACAGGTTGATGGGGGCCTCAATTTACGTCTCATTATGGGAAATCGACAGAAAACAATATACTGTCGGCCAACCTATCATTATGCGTAATGTGCCAAGCCAGGATATTACAAATTACAAAATCATTGCAAACATCGAGAATTTAAATCGGGGATGAGGAGGCTACCAGTTCGTGCATGTTGCGGTCGATATTATTGTTATTATTACACACTCTGTGTATGTTTTAACTTCCTTTTTACACACCCGGTAAGGGCACTTACTTTAAGGCTTCGGCGAAATGGATTGAGTTACAAAATCTCATGAAATTCAAGACTCAAAAAAAAATCATGAAAAATTGTTGCTGAAAAACAATTGGGCGAATTTCGAGAAGATTACTCATTTGAATCGTGACTCACTTGATTAATTTCTTCATCGGCACCTGCTACGAAACACTGGGCAAAGGAGGCTCTGAGTGATTTTTTTTTACTTGAAAAAAACTGTCTAACATACAGGGGGCGAACAAAAAGTATGGAACCAAACGGTTTTTTTAATAATTTTTCTTCAGATACTATAAAAAATGTGATCGTGTTTTGTTCTATAAGTTTTGCCTTTTTCCTTTCAAAATGGCAATTAAGTCAAAAATTTTGTAAATAAATTCTAAAAGTTTTTTTTTGAGAAACATCAATTAGTTTAAAAAAATGAAAGTAACGGTAATTTTGGTACTTGCCTGGTATACAGTGTGTCTCCGAATAGGTGAAATTTAGTTTTGAAAAATCAAGTATTCCTTGAAAATTTTCAAAAATATGTTTTCACCGTAGAGTAGAGTAAAAGAGTTATTAAGAAAAATTGTTTAGAATCAATATTTAGGCCTCTATACCAAATTTCAAATTATCACCGACCAACTATGATTTTTCATTTTTCTGTTTATTTCATAAAACATTTTTTTCTATTTTTAAGTTCTTTCATTATAGATAAAAAAAATCATATTTAGATTATTATTATTACAAAAAACTTTTTAACGTATTGAATTTTGATGTAGAAGCCTAGATGTTGATTCTAAACAACTTTTCTCAATAACTTTTTGTCGAATTTGTCACAAAAAAGCACTTGATACTTGATTTTTTAGAACCAAAATTTTGTTAGAAATTAGTCTTTAACTAAGTAAGGTCGAACCCCAAAAAAATAAAATTTAAATCGAGATTTTTTATTTTTTACAAAAAACGTTTTACCTATCCGAGGACACACTGTATATATATTATTTCCAATTTGATTTGAGTGTGAACATTTCAGTATTATTTTTTTTAACAAATCTATTTTTTGACAAATTTTTCTCACAAAAATTCTTGTTTTGAATTTGATACTTCATTTCACGCACCCAAAAGTCCTTTTTTTTTAAGTTTTTCGAATTTTCAATAAAAAAATTTTAACTGAAATTGTATATTTTGATTTGACATTGAAATGTGTATGAAATATTTTTAAATTTGATGATATGAGAAATAATGAAACGTTTAAAATTTTAACACTACAGGGTGATTCTTGTAAGGTCTACATTAGGAAATTTTCAACTTTCAAAATAGCTACGGCTTCTTTCGCAAAATTTCGTTAAAAACAAAGCAAACATTTATCAAACTGGGACAAAATTGGTGTTTTTGTGATAAAAACGAAAGTTTTTTTGAAAAATTTTGCTAAAACTGGCTAAAAAATTAGCAAACTATATTGAAACTGATATTATTTTAACTTGTTTCGTTCGATTTAGTTCGTTTTTGAACTAGAGATTCATTTATTTTGGAAGATTTTGTCAAAATATGCCTAAAAATTGCAATAATATCTCGAAATTGATGTTATTTTGCTTCGCTGGATTTATCTGGTTTTTGAGTGAAATTTTATCAAAAAATAAATAAAAAAAACACAATTTGGTCGAAAATGGTGTTACTTTACTTTTTTCAAGCACGTTTTTGAACGAAAATCTTTTTGTGCAAGATTGTACATTATTTTTTCAAGAGTGTTTTAGCTTGTTTTCCAAATATTTCTCACAATTTCGTTAAAAATAAGCCAAGGGAAAACATAATTTGATCGAAATTGGAGTTATTTTGGTGCATTTTAGTAGGTTTTTCAGAAAGAAACGCAAAATTTTCGTTAAAAACAAACTGAAAATTTACCAGGTTAAGACAAAGTTGCTGTTAGTTTTGCATTTTCAGAGTGTTTCAGCACGTTTTTGTAATAGAGACAAAGTCTTTTTATAAAAATTTTGCTAAAACTGGCTGAAAAATTAGCAAATTAGATTCGTTTTTGAACAAAAAACTTATTTATTTTGCAAGATCGTGTCAAAACATGCCTAAAAATTTCAAAAATACATCGAAATTGATGTTATTTCGTTTGTTTTACTCGATTTAGCTGTTTTTTCAGCGAAAACACTTTACTTTTTTAAGCACTAAAATCTCAATTTTGTGCCAGATTTTATAATTTTTTTGTGTTTTAGCTTGTTTTTCAAATATTTCGTTAAAAATAAGCCAAGAAAATTACGAAATTATTTTTGCCTTTTTCTGTAAGGTAAACCCGGGAGAGATCGACTTTGGAACTTCGAACCCTTCAAGAACTTTAACACATATTTTGTTACTTTTGAAAAAAAACATTCATGGTTTGAATAGAAATTAAGATCATAGTCGAAACGTGGTCCATCCCTCCCCGACTTCCCCTATGTGTATTCAAATAAAAATTTTGTTTCAAGTTGCTAAAATTTCATGGGAACTTTCTATTTCATTTCAGTGAGTTCGCAATCAATCGCTTATTCAAATCTCTAGATTTCGGTGTGAAGAAAATTTCATCGATTTAGTTCCGTTACAATTATTCCGAACAATAATTCTCCGTTTCCAGAACTATAGAAATGCACAATTGAGTTTTTCCCTCATTCGCAATGCACGTCTTGAATTATTACAACACTACGAGAAAAAAAATTCGTTTTGTCCTCGACAGGAAAGTAACCAAACACTAACAGGTTTTAATAGGGCTTCCCGTTTGTGCTGTACCTGTTTAGAATACTATGTGCATCACCGAATCCGAAATGAATCATAAATCTCAAGACGTGCGAAGACCCATGCATTGGGAAAATCCACTCACATGACGTGCTATTCGGCACACATCAAAGCGGAAAGAACCGTTTTCCTCCCTAATTTTCCCTCCGAAACCGTCAATTACGTCCCTTGAAAAAAAATTTGCGGCCCTTTCTTCACAATGCAAGTTTTGTGGTTTATTAGCCATGAATGGGGAATTTGGTTCTGCGTGTGTGGCAACAAGTGACTAATTAGTCATCTGTTTGGGACAGGAAGAAATTTTTTCGCACTGTAATTTTTACCTAAGTTGTTAGAATCGCGTTAGCCTTGACATATCATCAGTGAGTAGTCGATTCGGTTTATAAAAATTGTGGTTTGAACTAGTAAACTGATTGGGAATCAGTCAAGCGGCAAATATATCTTACATTACACAGTAACGGATAGTAAGACAACGGATTGAATTTCGGTTGCAGTCTTTTACACATCAGCGACTCGTCAAATTCGTTCGTAATTACGCAAAACTCGGCCTACTTGAATTATTATTATAAATAACATGGAAGTTGGAGAAATTCCCATGCTTTATCGGATTCCGAACCGTAATTACGAAAAACAAAAACGATACAAAAACTTGTACAACGTCGTTACGCATGAACACTCTGTATTTTTAGTTCAGGTCAGTATTTCATATCTCAACCGTGAATAGAGTACGAAGTACGGTGGTCGGTGAGAGAAGATGACTGGACAACTTTTAATAGGATTAGAATAATGAGCTTTCTATTCGGTAGATCGCTACTAAGACGCTTTTGCTCCTTTTACTTTTCAAATACATATTGCGATCGACTGACTTGAACGCAAAACAAGGATTTAAACTTAAAAATTATTAGTTCTTGTGCAAAAACTAAAAAACTGACAGCGTCCGTAAAGTAGCACTTTTACGGACTCATCTGTCAAGTCTTGCTTGTGTATTTACTCAAATCTTTACATAATACATTTGCCAAAAGCCACATTAACGGTAAATAAGGGACAGGTTACTAAAGTTACCAAGTACAAAAAAAATGTTCACTTGTCATAAAAATAAAAATTGACATATGTGAAAAACTATGACAGACAAGTACCAACAACTTGGGTATACTGTTATCAGTTTGAGAGAGAGGAATCAAAAGTGCGATAAAAATTAGTGGTTTCCATTTGAAATTTCAAAGTTGGCGCCAATGTCTCGTAGTTCCGGAAGTTTCACCATTTTGAAAATAATCTAGTTGAATCAAGAATGGTCGATTTTGGTCGAATATAAAGTTTCAAAATTGTAGCTATTTTGGAAATTGAAAAATTTCTAATGTGGACCTTTCAAGAATCACCCTGTATTGTTACAATTTTAAACAATTCATTATTTTTTATATCATGAAATTTAAAAATTTTTCATATACAGAGATTTAGAGATAGGGTGTGTCAGAACCCGCGACCCAGAAAAAAATTCAGGTAAGATAAGATAAGATAAGGTAAGTAAGATGAACATCTGTCAAAAAAAAAATTTGACATTTATTTTTTGACATTTGACATTTTTTATGTCTATTTAATGTTACTGAAGATTTTGTATATGTTTTTTTATAATTATTTAGTAAAGTTATAAAAATTTTACCAACAAAAGCCACAAATAACATTAAACAGAGTTACAATTTAGGAAAGCTTCCTTGTTTCCTCTTCTAATAGCTTGTAGCAAAAAACCTTAAAAAAATATTTTTCCAACAGAAATAAATTAGTCAAAATGCTAAACTTAAACTCTCATAACTTTAAAATTTTTTAGGATAATTTTTTTTAACATTCATTCCATGTTCCTGGTATCTTACATTACATTTTTCACTAGGGCGCGAGTTCTGGCGCATCCTGTATATCTTTTCAATGTCAAATCAAAATATACAATTTCAATTTTTTTTTTTTTGAAAATTGGAAAACTTTTCTCTAAAAAAGGACTTTTGGGTGCGTGAAATGAAGTATCAAATTCAAAACAAGAATTTTTGACCGAAAAATTGTCAAAAATTAGACTTGTTTACAAAAAATTCTAATTCTCAAAAAGGCAAAAAAATTAAAATTTTAGACCCTAGACTCATCGACTCCACTAACTGAAATTTCGTAAATAATTTATTCATTTTTCGACTCATATTTGAGAAAATTTGACGAAATAATTGAGTTTTTGGCTAAAAAACGTGTAAAAAATTGTGTCATTAAAATCGAACTTTGTTTTGACGATTGCGCAAAAAAGCAAATTTTACTAATTGTTAATCATTAATTAATAAATATTAAACATTAAACAAGTTTAAATAAGATTTCCCAAAGTCCATCTCTCCCGGATTTACCCTATTTGCGGTGCAATTCAAATAAAGCCGATATACAAGGGCAGTTCAGAAACGAATCTACTTAAGCATAAAAGAAGAGTCGCAATTAAAAAAATGTTTTTTTTTGCCTTTTTTAATAAAAAAATAAAAACAATAATAGTAGTAAGCAGATCACTTAGTACGAAATTAAAAGGAATCAAACAAAAAATGTTATCGTTTGTTTTTTGTTTCGTGGCTTTGTATTACCTTTGTAACATGTCAAACAAAAACCCAACCAATGATAAACTTGTAATTTGTCGCTAAAATCAAATTTAGTCAAACAGAAAACTTAACAAATCAAAAAAATCTCCATGTATAATGACATGGTGCGAAAATAGCCCAACAAAAGTGATAATTTTGACCAAAAAGAGCCACTCTATTGTGTTCTTGGTAATTTCAATCTAGTAGGCGTTTTAACTTTCTTTTGTTATTACAAGAATTAGCCAATGATAGTTAATTATTTGTTTTAATTTCTCGGAATCATGACACGAGTGGATCTAAAAATAAAACACGTACTTTTTCTCCTCCAACGCGTTAAAAAAATTACAATTTCGTAAGTGTACGGTATTTCCCTCATTAATATCTCAATATTCCACTCGTTTTTCCACGTATTACCGTATTTCGTTTTCTCTAAGCGAAATTAACATGCGTCCAAGGTCGTCCAGACACTGAAAAGTGGACTTTGCAGTCCATAAACAATCACATTGTAATATTAGGGCAAAAAAGCCCAACCCATCACGTTCGACCTGTCAAAATGACTATAACGGAAACGACAATTTGATAATAAAAATACTTCCACGTTGCGTTGCGATTTCTCCTCTGATAAAAAAGCGAATTCGCGGAATTCGTTTTTTTCCCCAAATCCAGTGGCGTGCATATTTAGGCCGTCGACTTATTTTTATTAGTTTATGAACTACATAAAAACAATAGTAAAGACATTCTAAAATTGAATTAACATACAATGAGCCGTAATGGTCAAGAGCGCAATGAGAATAATAATATCGCTTTGTTCTTTTGTTTGTTTTTTGGCGGGTCATTTGAAACGTGTTTTACAGACGGGTCGCTGCACCCCAATCCGCCCCCCTGTCCCCCTGCCACATGGCCAGACTACTCGTACACCCCCTACAGCCCCCAAACAGGCTACTACGACCACCAGGAGGCTGCCACGTCGCTTCATCTTCCCACCGGTGAGTGCCCCCGGATGCGCCTTTTTTGACAGAGCGTTAGCCCCCATTTACATACACCAAATCGAGAACCACATTTACATAACACTAAAAGTGTCACTGACCCCCCCCAGAAATTTTTTAATTGATTTTATCTTTGAAAATTTGAATTTGGCGCCATTTTTGATATATGCTTCTTTGGAAAATTTGAATTTACCGCCAATTTGATCGATTTTTTTAGTGCTGACAGTCTCACTGACCCCTCAGCAATTTTTTTTAAATGATTTTATCTTTGAAAATTTGAATTTGGCGCCATACGAAAATTTGAATTTAACGCCAATTTGATCGATTTTTTTAGTACTAAAAGTCTCACTGACCCCTCAGCAATTTTTTTTAAATGATTTTATCTTTGAAAATTTGAATTTGGCGCCATTTTTGATATATGCTTTTTTGGAAAATTTGAATTTGCCGCCAATTTAAGCAATTTTTTAGTACTCCCCGAGGCTGGACACAACGAGTTCATCAACACGTCGCTCACCTCCCCCCCGCCCATGCTCAACAGTGCCAAATCCGAGCTGGACCCCATGCGGTACCCCGACAACAGTACTTACTACCCCAATAATTGGACCCCGAATTCGTACCCCAATAATTACAACTATTACAACACGCCCAACAACAACCAGCAGTACCCCAGTACAATGGTCCTCTACCCCCCTTTGTACTCGACCCAGAACCAAATACATTTCCACTTGCATGGTAGTACCGAAAAAATCGACCAGTACTTAAGCACCGAAAGTTTGAGTTTGACCCCAACTAGGGCTATAGAACTAGCACAGAGTGTAACAACTGAAGTGGCACAATCGCATGAAACTCTCGAGGATACGGAAAGGACACATGACCCCGCCAGTGTCTGGAGGCCGTACTAAAGGACTGTTTCTATTTATTGTAAAATAAAATTTGTATTATAAAAAGTATTATTACAGGAAACTGTAACTATTATTTTTCTACTCGCTTTATTAGCTTCTATTGTGTTTGTTACGATGGTTGTGTCTAAGAATGTTGCAATAACATTTTTTCTGTCAATTATATCGTCTCAATGTCAGAAACATATCAAAATCTATGTGATTTTTTAGGACGATTCAAGTCCATTTTCAAAATATTTTTATTGTATTAACAGTAGAACAAGTTAATAAACGATTAATGAGTGTTATTTCGCTTTTATTTCGCTTCAAAGTTGAACAAAATTTAAATTTCCCGCTCAAAAAATCGGCGGGAAATTCAAATTTATTCACAAATCGCGACGAATAATTGCGATTTTGACCTAAAACTTAAAGTCGTAGGTCTTCTATCACCCCAAATTTCCAAAAATGTTGGTTTCTATTTATGGCCCGATTTAAAAATATTTTAAATGGTTTTTAATATGTATAGTATAATATCTTCTAGATTATGAAAAAAAAACTGAGTTCCTATTTAAAACAAAGTTAAATAAATATAGCCCAAAATGTACTATGAAATTTAATTAATTTTTGAAATCGGGCCATAAATAAAAATTCTGTAGTGCCTCCCGGTTTTTAAAGGTCATATAAAAATCCATGTAAGTTGTGAAATTTACGCACGATTCAATTCTATTTTCAAAATATTTCTTTTGTATTAACAGTAAAACAAGTTAATAACGATTAATGAGTGTTAGTTCGCTTTTATTTCGCTTCAAATTAGAAAAATAAATAAATTTCATGCTCAAAAATCAGCGGGAAATTCAAATTTGTTCCAGTTTTTGTCATGAATTGCGACAAATAATTGGGATTCTGACCTAAAACTTCAAATCGTGGGTCTTAAAAAAAGCGCTGTAAAATTTTTATTCATGGCCCGATTTTAAAAACTAAAAAATATATTAAATGCTTTTAATATGTATAGTATAATATCTTCTAAATTATGAAAAAAACATTGGGTCCCTATTTAAAATAAGAAAGTTAAATATACGCCAACATATACTATGACATTTAGAAAAATTCTAATATTGTCAGCTTATACCATATTAGAAGCCATTTAACTAGTTTCTTAATTTTTGAAATCGAGCCATAAATAAAAATTCTACAGTGCCTTCCGGTTTTTAACGGTCACCCTGTATATGAAAATCTACGTAAGTTGTGAAAATTAAGTCTATTTTCATAATATTTATTTTGTATTAACAATCGAACAAGTTAGTAAACGATTAATGAGGGTTAGTTCGCTTTTATATCAGCAAAATTTAAATTTCCAGCTCAAAAACCGGCGGGAGATTCAAACCTCATCCGTCATTTTTTGACAAATCGCGCCAAATTACGTCATGGATTGGGATTCTGACCTCGTTCTATACCCAAAACCGCAACCTTTGCAAAAATTTAAAGTCGTGGGTCTTTTACCACACCCAAATTTCCAAAAATGTCGCTATTTAGTCGAATTGTTGCATTCACATTACCCCAAATTGTACGCCAAGCCGGAAATAAGGGGTATGTTGAACGTGGATTGGGACGAATTTTTGACCAAGATGAAGAGACGTCATGGTAAGGCATACTACCTTCTGGGGGCCCCAGTAGCCGTGTACCATGATGGGCAACTGATAAGTGACCAAGGACTTGAACATTTCATCAAAGAAACGTACAGGATTGAGATTGATAGGGATTTTGGGCAAATGGCCGAAAATGAATTGATTAAATATTTCTCCCAAATTTTGGAAACTTATAAAGTGAGTTTTGTTTTTTTTTTATTAAATTTTCAAATTGTTTGTAGCGAAAATTTGTCTACTTGACCATTGCGATTGATGAACGTGTAGTTGGTTCGATGCTATTTATGGTAATTAATTAATTAATTACTAATTAATTTTTAATTAATCAATTTGGACAGCTTTACAACGATTTAGTCCCACTAACTTGTGACAATTTTTTATTTCGTTGTACTAGAAAACTGCAAGGGTATAAAAACACCAGAATACATAGGTACCAACCATAAAATTGAAATGTCACTTCATTCAAATGTAAGACATTTTTTACAGAATTGCGAAATACAGTTGGCTGCAATGTGGCGGTTTCGGGCTCAAACACATTCCAATGCCTTGTGAAAACTATTCGGTACCACATGACAGACGAGGTGTCATTTCCATGTGTAATAAAAAAAGACACGAGGATAATAGTACCCAATTTTTTATAACCCTAGAACCTGCATCATGGATGGACTACAATTATGTCGCTTTTGGGTGAATCCCCTGTTTCCCTAACCACAAAATTAATTCTTTTCAGACAATTGGTTCAAGGTGCTGAAATTTTGAATTTGATTGAGAAAATCGGAACCTATTACGAAAAACCGGTCCGAAAAATTGAAATTGTCAATTGTGGCGAATTTACACTATGTCCAATCCCTGAAGATGACTTCATTAAGGCTCTAAACCCACCATTCGAAACGTTGTTCACTCACGAAGTACCCGTCGATGAAACGGACTCGATTCTTAGCTTAACTGGTTACAAAGAAGGCAAATATTGTCTCCAAACCGACTTAAAATCCTATCTCCCGTTTACAAGATATTCGAAAATGTTTGACAGTTATATGCGAGATATAGAGGGCGCTCCGGAGGATGACAACGTCACGATCAAAAAAATCGTAAAGGAAGAACACGAGGAGGAGGATAACCAATCGGATGATAACATGAATTCTTTGTTTTTTAGCCGAAGTCGGACGTTTTATCGCAAATTTTAAATAAATAATTAATCGTTTTGTTGTCACTGGTTTTGTTGAGGGTCACTGATCGGGTTATGTCATTTGTCAAATTTGACATTTGAGGTTATGTAATACTGAAAATGCAGCCTAATTTAATTAAATCAATTCGGCCGCTTACTGAAACTGAAAAACAATTCATTCCGGTTGAAATCATGGTCAATGATATGAACACTTGGGAGCAATACGCTGAAAAAGTGATCAATTTTACTTCGAGATATAACATCAGTTTCAGTATTTCGTACGCTCCGGACAACCTTGTGGGGAAATACAGCAAGTATCCATCATACGGGGATTTCCCGGAGACGTACAGTTTGGTGTGTAAACCCCCCGGAAAATTCCGGTACGTCACTGTCTTTTTAGAGGTCTTACGGCAAGTGGTGGAAAGAAAGTGAGGCCCACCAACGGGAGTACATGCCCCAGGAGAGTGACCCCTTGGGGGCGGAGGACTATGTCACTTTGGGCTTTGAGCGGGCTGTTGTCCCACGTGACGTTTGCATTTACGAAACGTACAATCCGGGGGCTGTGGTCCGGATTTGGGGCCGTTTCAGTGAGAGACATTGGAAGTTGTTATGGGAGGGCCCCCCAGAGGTGTATCCCGAGGAATCCCGCAAGTTTCATCCCACCATCACAAAATACAACTGTCTGATTAAGTCAGTTGGGGATTTTCGTTTTTCAAGGTTTACCACACCATTGATTTTCAGCGAAATTCGACTAGAATTCAATCAAAGTCATCTGAAATATCACACAGCAATCGATGCTGTGCTTCTAGGGGGCTATCAACCCAAACGCATCCTCCAGCAACATGTCTTACAAAACGACTTACTCAATTGGAGAAGTTCAAATGATAGCCCCAAAAAACAAATGACCAATACTGTGAACGACAATTGTGACTTTTTCTCACATCTTCCTGTACTTAATTAATTAATTAACCTAATTTTTTTTATCATAATTTTTTTAGCACGAAGTAATTTTGCATATTTTTCAATATTTGGACTTGAAATCGTTGTGTCGTTGTGCCCAAGTGAACAAAACGTGGTACGAGGCCACGTGCGACCCCATCTTGTACCAAAATTTGACCCTGAAAGTAGTCCCCACCACCTGAAAAAAACCTAACCTAATTGTGACATTTCAGCGTTATTGGCACCGAATCAACAGCAAAAACTTAAACTTTTTCAAAAACCGGTGTTGTGGAATCCGAAAACTCGACCTGTCGTGGTGTGGAAGCGACGACAAGTTTTTTTCAAGCACTTTTCTCCTGTAAGACAATAGCCGGTAATACAGATTCCTGTAATGCTCGTTCCAGATTTTTGCACCACTGTTGCCAACATCTCACCCATTTATCACTATGTCATTGTGAATTCGTCAATAATGAAATTGTTACGAAAATTTCACAATGTCGGGAATTGACAGAATTGCGATTACGCAACACCAAAGCCGATTATTTCGCTTTTCAGAATTTAGCACGTTTGAGTAAATTAAACACACTAGATTTGTGTTGTACTAGTGTGACAGATGGGCCATTGATGGCAATCCTGAAAGCCAATCAGAATTTGACACATTTAATGTTGGGTGAGTGTTTAGTCTGCGGTCCGGTTTGAGTTTCATCGCCAATTACAGATTTCTGTGAAAATATCGTGCAACTTGATCAGATTGTTGAAACTGTAGCCAATCATAATAGAAGTTTGAGGACGTGGAGTTCATTTAAAACCACAACTTTGACTCCTTCCGGTGGTTTACATTTTTCCAGGTGTGCCAACTTGAGAGAGTTGGATTTGGGTTGGTGCTTTTTGTTTGCACACCCTGGGGATTGTTTAGAGAGAATTGCTGCCAACTGTCCACATCTGAAAAGGTTCAGTCGTGCCAACTGCACTTAAAACACTAAGTGGGGGCTTTTAGGTTGATTATCTCACAGTGGAGGGGGGTCAACGACCAAATGCTTTTACCAGTGGTCACAAATTGTAAGGATTTGACATTGTTGGATTTGTTAGGGATTAAAAGTATCACCGGTGAGATATGCGAGAGGGCGCTCGTGTCGTTATCTCACTTAAAATTGCTCGATATTAGTTTTTGTGATTCTATTTCCGATAATCAAGTAAGTGTTAATAACAATTGAAAAGTTACTAAACTTCTGATTCTAGGTTCTTTTGTGGCGTCAGAATTATCCAAATGTCACTATACAAAGGAGCTGTCAATTTCTCGTCATGGACTACTTGAATTAACATGTGATTAAGTTTAAGGACCAAATATTGTGATATTGTTAGTATTACCAACTGTTATAAATAAATAGAACTAAAACATGTTTGGTTTATTTTGAGACTTGTTATTTTTAACTCTTCTATAATTAGAAGTCTTGTGGTTACGTTGTGGCCGACCACGAGTTTAATAATGTTTTGCGATGAGAAATATCTTGAAATTTGTAGTGAAAAAACCCTCCAGATCGATAAAGAAGGTTTCTTTTTACAGTTTGCGAAAACAGTCGCTGAAAATGTTGGTGAAAAATGGGTAAAAAACGTTTTTGGTAAATTGAAAACAGACAGCGAACGAATTAGGGTTATTTATGAGAATGACGAGGTGAAAAAAACGTCATTTTAATAGTTTTAAAAATTTTATTTGTAGATTAAAGACTACACAATCGGGTTTTTATCAAACGTGCAAGAAATTTACCGAAAAAAATCGCCCGAAATCGCTTCAAACCGCTTCTCCCAAGCTGAAACATCCGAAAAAAGTGGCGACACGAAAAAAGCCCTAAATTTATACAACCAAACAATACTAAAATCCCCAGAATCAGGTAGGGTTGGCAAGCTGTAAAACTAACGTAACCGAAACTTACAGACCCGACTCTCGCCTTGGCTTTGGTCAGGAGAGCCAACCTTCTAGTCACCCTAAACGAATTTTCCTACGCTTTGACTGACACTCAACTCGCCCTAAAACTAAAAGTCCCCAGTAATGTCAAATTTGACGTTTTTTCAACCATGGCTATGTGTAACAAAGCCTTGAAGGATGAAACTAAAGCACAAATTTCGCAAAATTTAGCTGAAAAAATGACAAATGACCCGAATCTAGTAGACAAGCTACGTCACAACATGGCCGTTGAATATGAACCAATCAAACGCGAGGTGAAAGTAATTCCACCAATCGGCGAACGCCATACTCACTTTAGCCACGCTTCGAGCAAAATCACAGTGAAAAAGTCCCCAGATTTGGGCCGTTATGTTGTCAGCAATGCCGATATCAAAACTGGGGAAATTCTAGTTGCCGAACCTGCCGCTGTGGCATGTCTCAACCCTGACAAGTTCGGTACGCATTGCCAACATTGTTTCGCCCGGTACGTATTTAGGGATTTTCCCCTAAATAACCCAGTTTAGACTTTTAGCACCCGTAGGTTGCCCTCACTGTTCCAGTGTCGCTTTCTGTAGCCCGAAATGTCGCGACGACGCCATTTTGACGTATCACAAATACGAATGCAAATTTTTCGACTTGTTACTAGGATCTGGAATGAGTGTTTTATCATTAATGGCGTTACGAATCATCACACAACAGAATTTGACACAAACACTTGGCATTTATGACAGAAAAGACACTAACGCCCTCTATAATTTATGCACGAATGAAACGAAACGTCAAAATTGTGATTTCCTGCAACGGAGTTTAATGGCGGCGTTTCTGTTGCGTTGCTTACAGAAAAGTGGTTATTTTGGGGGAAATGACACAGTAGTGCCAACCCAAACCGAATACAAGGTTGGCGAAATGTTACTACATTATTTACAAATCTTACAATTTAATGCACATGAAATTTATGAAACTTTGTACGACGAAAAACACAGTTTGAAAAGTGCCAAAATGGTCAATATTGGGGTTGCTGTGTACCCCACAGTGGCACTTTTTAACCACGAATGTTACCCGAGTGTCACACGGTACCAATCTAAGCCTTGTAAAATCCCTAGAATTGACATTTTTTTCAATTTTTTTAGGTATTTTATTGGGAAAACTATCGTAATCGTTTCAATTCGCCCTTTGACCGGGAATTTGTCAATTTCAGAGAATTATGGCCCAATTTTCACACGAATTAAATTACCTCAACGACAGAGAACCCTCTCAGGGCGTTATTGGTTCAATTGTCAATGCCAAGCCTGCCTCGAGGACTGGCCTTTGCTCTCAAACGAATCAAATTACGTCAAACGTTTAAAATGCCCAAACTGTTCGTTTTTGTTCCCTGTTTTCCCCGAAATTGAAAAATGTCCCAAATGCCAAACGAACATCTCTTTTAGGGAATTAACCGACAAGTTGGATTGGTGCAAAAATCAGTTTCAAACCGGAATTGATTTGGTTAAAACCGAAAGGAGGGATGAAGCAATTCCGGTTTTGTGTCAAGCTTTGGATACTTTTCATCGGTTGGTTGGTGTTATGTGGGGGTTGGTAGTATTGTTGGTGTTGTAGGGTGTCAGCGCCACCTCATGGTGAAACTCATCGTGCACAAGAGGCCTTAAGGATTTGTTTAGCCGATCAGGGGAATAGTTTCGATTGTCTTGTTTGAATAAATTGATTTAAAAAATTAACAAAAGTGTGGTGATTAACTCGAAGGGTGAATTTGTTTGATTTTTGTGTTATTGATTGGGTGTTAAATGGGTAAAAACGCAAAATTATCGAATGTTTGAGTGTTTTGTCGAGGTAAACAGTCGACTATTATTGTCAGTAGCGACACGTGGCGTCTTATCACAAATTTAGTGATTCTAGATAAGAGATAGATTAAAAATGTGATCGTTTTTTCGAAATAAAATTTCTGGAAATTTTCCTTTTTTAATTTTACATTTTTTTTACTATGAAATAATTTTAGAAAAATAAATAATTTTTCAACAGAAAACAAATGCGTCTCGGAACATTTTGCATGTCAAATTTTTGCAAAAAAAGTAAATGTGGATTATCGACAATAAAATTGACGCTTAAGTTAAAAAAAAATCATAAAAACCCCTTTTTCTCAGGGCTGAAAATTTTACACTTATTAAAAAACTAATAAAAATTTAATTACACAAACACACCTACCACTATAAAAATTTGTTTATTTTCGTCGTAAAAACCCCTGTCCTAGATTCATTGTTCCTCTGGAAAAAATCGCAGTCGACTACTACTGTTTATAAATATTTAAATCAGTCTCTGAATACGATTTAGATAGGGTAAGTCTGGGAAATATGGACCACATTTTAAAAATCTGCTTAAAAAAAAACACTAAAAAAGCAAAAACTCACACAAAAATTAAATTTTCACTCAAGTACGTGCTTTAAAAAGGTAAAGTAAAAATATTTTCGACTAAATTATGAGCATTTTTATTATTTTGTGACAAAATTTCACTCAAAAACCAGCTAAATCGTTAAAACAGACAACAAAATATCAATTTCGATTTGTTTTTGTGATTTTTAAACGTGTTTTGACAAAATAAAATAATTTCTGGAACTAAATTGAATGAAACAAGTGAAAATAATATCAATTTCAATTTAATTTGCTAGTTTTTCAGCCAGTTTTAGCAAAATTCTTCTAAAAAAAGTTAATTTTTATTACCAAAAAGTGCTGAAACACTCTATAAAGCAAAAATAACAGCAACTTTGTCTTAAACTGGTAAATTTTCAGTTTGATTTAACGAAACTTTGGCAAAAAATTGCGTTTCTTGCTGAAAAACGCACTGAAAGGCTCCAAAAAGGCCAAAATAACTCGGATTTAGATCAAATTCTGTAATTTCCTTGGCTTATTTTTAACGAAATTTTGAAAAATATTGGAAAAACAAGCTAAAACACTCTTGAAAAAGACAAAAAAATGTAAAACCTCACACAAAAAACATTTCGATCAAAATATGCTTGAAAAAGGTAAAGTAACACGATTTTCGACCAAACCGTGTTTTTTTGGTTTATTTTTTGACAAAATTTCGATCAAAAACTAAACTAAATCGAGTGAAAGAAACAAAATAGCATCAATTTTGATTTATTTTTGCAATTTTCAGGCATGTTTTGACAAGATTTTGCAATATAAATAAGTCTCAGTTCAAAAACGAACTAAATTGAACGAAAGAAATTAAAATAATATTAATTTCAATCTAATTTGGTAATTTTTCAGCCAGTTTTAGCAAATTTTTTTCAAAAAACTTTGTTCTTATCACAAAGACAATCTAAAACATTCCGAAAATGCAAAAATAACAGCAACTTTGTCTTAACTTGGTAAATTTTCAGTTTGTTTTTAACGAAAATTTGCAAAAGAATTCTTGACTAGAATGCTCTAAAAAGGCCAAAATAACACCATTTTTGATCAAATTATGTAACTTCCTTGGCTTGTTTTCAAGAAAATTTTGAGGAATGTTTAAAAACAAGCTAAAACACACTTAAAAAGTCAAAAATCATGTTAAATTTGAGACAAAACTGAGATTTTACTTCAAAAACGTGCTTGAAAAAAGTAAAATAATTGTTTTCTTGCTTATTTTTTGAGTGAAACAAACAAAATATCAATTTCGATTTATTTTTGGAATTTTTGGGCATGTTTTGACAAGATCTTGCAAAAATAAATAAGTCTCTGGTTCAAAAACGAACTAAATCGAACGAGACAAATTAAAATAATATCAATTTCGATCTAATTTGGTAATTTTTCATAGTTTCAGTAAAAATTTTTCAAAAAAACTTTGTATGAATTAGAAACACGTGTTAACTTAAATTTTTGGTTTGTTTCTAACGAAATTTTGCGAAAGAATTCCGTTTCTCACCAAAAAACTTACTAAAACTTTCTGAAAAAAAGCAAAAATAATAAAATTTTTGACCCATTTTAGACTCATCGACTCTACTGAATAAAATTTGGTAAATAATTTGGCAATTTTTCCTCTCATTTTTAAGAAAATTTGGCGAAATAAGTAAGTTTTTGGCCAAAAAATGTGCAAAAAATTGTGTCACCGTTTTTGACCTAGTTCACAATAACAATAATTAAAATCGAACATTGTTTCTTGACGATTGCGCAAAAAAGCTAATTTCACTAACTATTTAATTATATTAAACAAGTTTAAATCGGAATTCCCAAAGTCGATCTCTCCCGGATTTACCCTATTTGCGGTGCGATTCAACTTAAGCCGCAGTTCAGAAAAAAATCTACTTAAGCATAAAAAAGTGACAGAATTTTAAAAAATGTTTTTTTAATTCAAATAAAATTTTTGCCCACAAACTAATTAGTAACAATAGGAGTTTTTTATAGTTTCATGTAAAAAAAGTCTCAAAAAAAAATCTTGAAGCTGATCCCGAAAGTCCATCTCTCCCGGATTTCCCCTACACGAAAACCCCCATCTGAAACCCGGTCAACCATCCCGAAGTTGTCCATGCGTGAACCTCCACTTTAATTAACGAGTCGGAAAATACGAGTCACTCCACAACCCCCATTCCTCCAAAATCTCCCGCGCGCGCCTCCTTGATAATGAAATCGTGCAATTAGTACCAATTTGGATCACCTGTGCACAAAACACACCTTGACTCGCGTCGAGAGCAAATCTCGCAGATTCGTGACGAAAATGTGTGCGATTTTGTGAAAAATGTTGACGATTTTCTGGTAACTATAGCCCCCAAACCCCCTAATCCCTGAACTAATAACACAAAAGATAACACTTTCGCGATGACTTGAATCAACATCCAAGTGGGTTGTGACGCATTTCGAAAAAAATCAAACAAAAGAATTGGTTTTGTGTTACGTGTCATTTTTAGGGAAAAACAAAACACGAAAATTAATCAAATCCAATCGATAATTACAGTGGACACTTGTTTTTAGTTTCATATTTCAGCGGAATTAAAATTTTAAACAAAAGCCCGCAATTAATACTCCGGGAACAATCAAACCGGATTTAATTCTCCCGGAAAAAAGTAATTGGAATTGTTTGCAGTTTAATTTAAAAGTTTCAATCTTCTTTATTATAATTTAAAATCTTGTCGTTTTACAGAATATTGATTTCGAATATAATTTCCTGAAAATTCATGAAACTTGACCCGAACTGAATACCAATTTTTTCAGTCACTGGTCTAATATTATTTTATTAAGGACAAGGCTGGTGAAAACGCTAATTATTATTTACTAATCTCGATCTCGATTTTTAATCCCAGTGAAAGTTACTCGTAACAAAACCAAAAAATCAATTATTGGTTTTTGCAATCACACTGTATAATACAATAACTGTCGATTTCTTCCATTATTGGTCACAAATTTTATGAATGAATCGTCCAACCTTGACTGAGACAAGGCAGACCGGTTAGTTGTGGGTATTGACCCACATTGCAAAATATTTTATATACAGGGTGTTTTCCTATTAGTGCAAAAAAATTGCACCCACGTGTTCTACACCGAAAAATAACACTAATTTCTCCAATAAACCATAGGCCTACAACGCTTCGTTACTGAGATACAGGGTGATAAAGTTTTTTGACGTCAAAATAATTTAACAGAAATTAGTTTTTGCAAAAAAACACTGTTTTGGATGTCGAAATGCGAATCACAGACACTCCAATGACAAATTTTTCGGTTACTTTTGTTTATTAAAATCCAAATTCAAATTTTATTTGGAAAGAATGTTATTTTTTGAACATCCTGTATCTTTTTCAGGATTATACTTCTCGATCTTTTTGCACCAATCAAAAGCCAGGATTGCTTCCTCACAACCCCCCACCACCTCACCTGCGTGACACACTCACCACACTTAGGAGATGAAATTCCCCCAAACATCACGATTCTCGAGCTGCGCGATATTGAACAAGACGAGCTTGATCTCAACTACATGATCGAGAAATATCCCCAAATCGAAAACGTTTCGATCTACGACGGTAACATCATCAGGGTTAAATCGCCGAATCCGGATAATAAAATTAAAGTGAGGATTTTATTTTTAACACAGTTGGTAGACTGGTCACTTTTAGGTTTTACGTTTGGTGCGAATCGGTGTGGAAAATATCGGAAATAAGTTTCTGGGGAATTTCCCCAATTTGGAGATTTTGGATTTACGCGGGAATTTTTTACAAAGTTTAGGAAATTTTTCCGTGGGAGAGTTGAAAGAATTGTACCTCGACGGTGAGTATAATTTATTGTGAAATTAAAACACTTCGGGTTTCATCGGTGAAATTTCGTTTTTTGAGACAGTATCGGTGTATTTTACAGTTTTACCAACTGTGAAAATGTGTGTTAGGATTTTCTCAAACCAAGGTCTGAATTCCATGAGACCATCCCACACTAGTGTGAAAATATCAACGAGAAAACTCAATCTAGGGAGTATTTTAGTGATCCAAAACCCTATATATTTAACCACAGTGTCGAGAATGAAGAAACCTGTATCAAAACCACCATTCAAAGTTTCAAGACGCGCCAAAACGGTGGGAAAACGTTGAGTAAAATCCGGTGCCAAGGCTAGAATGGTTTTTAACACAGTTTTCAACGGATTTGCCAGATTTAAAAGTGGGGAAAAGCCCAGATTTGCTTGTCTTTTCCGTCTCGAAATTTCCAACATTGGTTTATTACCGAACAAAAACGATGATAAAATCCCCCACAATTTGCGTCCAATTGTCTCAACCACGTTCACAATTTTTTGAAAAGTAAACGCTAATGGTTTGGAGAATTTCGAAATAAATTGAACGATGGGTGAAATAATCCACTTTTGGTAAAATGGTTGGGGCTGCGCATCATTATTACCAATCAAATGAAAATTATTTGTGTTAAATAATCTCGAAGTCACAGGAGGCGTCACTTCTGTGTCATTTTTTGGTTTTAAGGCGTCTACAAGGGGGCTGTGTTCGATAAAATGTCTCCAAGATGTTTCATTAGTCAAAATTTCTAAAAAAAAATAAATAAATGACTTTTTAATAAAAAAAAAACATAGTTACCGGTGCAACAACATTGCAAAATTGCGATTAAGACGAAACAAACAAATGACAGCTTCATGATGGAACACTAGCCAACTCTGATCATAATTCATTCTTTTGTTTTTAGTTAGATTAGCGTGTAGGCCACTTGATTTATTTAAAAATTTTTTAATTGTTTTGTTGTGTCAAAATGGGTGGTTATGTGGGTGAATAAATTTATTAAATTAAATTTAGGTAACAGTTGGAACTGCTCACTAGATCTGAATTGGGTCCTGAAACTGAACCAAACAATCGTCAAGGATTTAACCAATTTGACTTGTCAGGGGAATCCCCACCCAAACAAAAATCTAGTAACCATAGCTCGTTTCACTAAGGTAAAAAAATCAAGTCCAAAAAAAAAAACAATTTTGAAAAATCAAGAGTTCCAGGACTTGAAAAACAATTGCCCATCGATCTGTTCCTGTACTTTACCCAAAGTCATTTTCACGAAAATGGGTTCCCAACGTTTGGAGCCCCTCATCGAAGTCAATTGTTCGCATCGCAGTCTCACCCGTCTCCCCCTCGACCTCCCCCCCAAATCGCGCATCATCCATCTAGAAGGCAACGAAATCGAAGACTTAAAACCCCTAAAACACCACCAAATCTACCGCAAAGTCCTCGATTTGCATCTCGACAACAATAAAGTGAAAACAATTGAAGAACTTGAAGGTTCCTACTTCCTCAAACATTTCCGGGTGTTCTCCCTCAGCGGTAACAAATTAACAGAAGTGCCAACCTACGCACTCGACAATGCCCTAACCCAAAACCCGCACATGCCCAACGCTTTGAGTATTTCATTGGGTGGCAACCCCTGGCGATGTGATTGTGTTTTCACACCAGTTTTCCAGGTACACCAACCCAAATTTGGGGTTTTTTAGTTTTTTTTTTTTTAGGAAATGTTGCAAAAATTTGCGCCACAAATACGTGACTTGAGAGAAGTCAAATGTTCGTATGTGGAAGGCGACGAAAATTCGCTCCTACCGGTAATTCAATGCTACCAATTGTGACACTGTTACCAACCTAATTTTGTAGATTATCGAACTGAGCCGAAGTTCGGTCTGTAGATCCCCAAGCGAGTATTCAGTCCAGGCTTTAGACCTTTTAAACGGAGTTTTAGCAAGTCTGATTTTATTAATTTTAGGGAAATTAGCGTATGATTATTATTATTTTAAGAAAACGGGACGACTGCCCTGGATTGTTACAAAAATGCCTTAATTAAATAAATGACTTGAAAATAACAACTTTATTTATTTATAGACTTGTTTTGTTGCGTTTTTGTCTAATCATTGTGCAAAGTTTAAATTTTATCATATTGTAAATAAGGTAGGTTATATAACCAAAACAAGATGGCGTCCGTGACATTTGAACTACCGTCACATAAAAATTAAAATCCCATCCAATTTAAACGTAATTCTCTTATGTTTGAACCACTTTGTGACAATTTCAAGAGTTCTAGTACTTTTAATTAAAATAATTTGTGTATTTTACACATTTGGTAGGTCATTTGTCCCGTCAAATTGACAGTTACGTGTCAAGATGTTGAACTTTGAAATCTGATTAATTTGTTCACTTATTGTTACGTTTATTTTATACAATTTAATTTATTTCTAATTAAGCATACTCAAGTATAAGACTAACTCCGAAAAAATGATAAACACTGGGTATGTCTCTAATTTTGTTTAATTAATTCGTAATTTGTCCTACTTGTAATTTTAGTAAATTACAGGGGCTTACAGTCTTCATAACGGGGGCTAGTCGGGGCATTGGCAAAGCCATAGCCCTCAAGGTGGCCAAAGATGGGGCTAACGTAGTCGTGGCTGCCAAAACGGCCGAACCACACCCCAAACTCCCAGGAACCATCTATACAGCATGCAAGGAAAGTACGTTTTAAATCAAATCAAGTCGCTTCCTGTCACTTATGTCAATTTTTCATAGTCGAGGAGGCCGGGGGTCAAGGCCTGCCTTGTATCGTGGACGTCCGCGACGAGAAACAGGTCCGTAATGCCGTCGAAGAGGCCGTGAAGAAATTCGGTGGAATTGACATTCTTGTAAATAATGCTTCGGCGATTTCCCTCACTCCGACACCGGAAACGGATATGAAACGCTACGATTTGATGCATAATATTAACACACGGGGGACTTTCCTAGTGTGAGTCAATAATGCCAACTTTGGAAACGTAAATTGTGACTTTTGGGTGGTTTCAGTTCGAAAGAATGTCTCCCCTATTTGAAGAAAAGCAAACATGCACATATTTTAAATTTGTCGCCCCCTCTCAGCATGAAACCTCATTGGTTCCAAAATCACGTGGCCTACACCATGGCCAAATACGGCATGTCAATGTGTGTTTTAGGCATGCATGAGGAGTTTAGACCGTTTCATATTGGGGTTAATGCCTTGTGGCCCAGGACCGGTAATACAGAAACCTGTAATTTTGGATTTTTCGATTTATGTTTCAGGGATTCACACTGCGGCGATTGAAATGTTAACAGGGGCGGACTCGGCCAAGTATAACCGGAAACCGGAAATTGTGGCCGACGCCGCCTATGCTGTACTAATCTCCGATCCGAAAACCACTACAGGAAACTTCTTTATCGACGATGAAGTCCTCAAGAAACACGGTGTTACCGATTTCGACCAATATTGTGTCGATCCCACTTTCAAGGACAAACTCATGTCCGACTTTTTCGTCGATGATGATGCCCTCAAGCCCCCTAGTGACGGTCGCCCCTCTTTGGCTACCCCCAAAATACAGGGTGATGGCAAAATCGTTAAAATCTTCCAAGGGATTGAAGCAAACTTATCACCGGACACGGTCAAGGGCACTCAGGCTGTCTTCCAGTTTGAGGTCACTGGAGAAGAAGCCGGGAAATGGTTAGGGATTTTATTTTTCTCACTAGATACTCACACGAGTTTTTAGGTTTGTCGACCTGAAAAACGGTGCCGGGTCGTGTGGACGCGGTGACGCACCTACAGCCCCCGACGCCACCCTCATTATGGACAGTAAAAATTTCTTTGATATGTTTAGTGGGAAAATCAAGCCGGCTACGGCTTTCATGATGGGAAAATTGAAAGTCAGGGGAAACATGCAGAAGGCGTTGAAATTGGAAAAACTAATGAGCTCACTCAAGGCCAAATTGTAAAAAACGTCTTGTAATTGTTATTTTTACACGGAATGAATAAAAATCTATTTTATATTCAAGTACCAACAGTGACCGAAAAAACTCCCTAACCCTAACCTCGAAAGTTATGTCATCGATAATAAATGGTTTTATTGTTTTTTCTTTGACTGCAACATTACTTTATTTCATCGGTTTGTTGGCTTTTATCAACGATCATGAAGAAAATAAGTGTGACATGACGTACATGTTCGAATACCCCCAATTCGTGGTACTAGAAAATTGAGGTTATGTTTACTTCACACAATCGATTTTTTTCAGCGAATATCGAACAAAATCGACGATAAATACCCGAAATATGGACTCTACGCTTACAGTGAAGGTCGACTTACTGAAAAAACCCGAAATATGTTTTTCGATGGCATCCCTGTATTATTTATACCGGGTAATGCCGGGTCACACCGTCAAGGTATACCAACGTGAAAAAACATAAGTGTCACAAAAATTGTTTTTAAGGACGCTCTCTAGCATCGGTGGCCCTCCGCAAGGCTTTAAATTCGCGCACACCGTTTCATTTTGACTACTTTTTGATCGATTTAAATAAAGAGTTAAGTGGACTAAATGGGGCACTTCTGGTCGATCAACTCGAATATGTCAACAATTCGATCTATACTGTGCTTAATTTATACAAAAAACCGGCGAAATCAGTGGTCCTAGTTGGCCATTCTATGGTAAGTGACAACTGACAAGTCCAATTGGGTGATTAGTTTTTCAAGGGTGGTATAATTGCCAAACGTTTAGGGGAAAATTCCGACTTGGTACCAATCGTACTTGGCTTAGCTGCACCCTATAGACGGCCTCCCATGCAAATGGACTCATTTTCGTACAACTTTTACAAAAATATTGACACTAGAAACAGTTCTACCACTTTTGTAAGCATCACAGGGGGTTATAATGATTTTCTAGTGCCTTCGTTTCTCACCAAACTTGACGGTAGTATCAATGTCGTGGTAAGTAGTCACTAAATTTGGTAATTTTTGGCTTGTAATGTTTGTGGTAGAGTACACAAATCCCACGGTCGTGGCTACCAGCCGACCATGTTTGCATCCTTTGGTGCAAACAATTGATTTTGGCTATAAACAGAGCTCTCTTTGATTCAGTCGATCCAAAAACAAAACAAATATCAAACGATCAAAATCTACGTTATAGGGTTTTTCACCATCATTTGATTCACGTGAGACGCCAACCTAAAGAAATAAAATCACTAAATTTGGTACATTCTAGCATAGCGGTATTAATATACGACTTTTGGATAGTTATAGTCTTAGTCCGAATATTAAAAATCAGGGGGAGTGGATTGAGCCTTTAGGGCGCCAATACTCAATTCATGTCCCTCGACTGTCAAGCAGCCCCCATTTCTACATGGTCAGGCTTTTAAATCAACCCCAACACCAAAGTCTAACGGTGGTAGCCCTGAATTTGGAAACGGTAGATTGGGCTTTCGTGTGTGGGGCCCATATACCAAGGGGGAATTTCCGAGTTTGGTAACTAAATGTCATTTATCATCTGTCATCTGTCAAATATTTCTAGCGAAGAGTTCACACATTTGACACATCTGTCAGAAATTTCACCATCAAGCAACTATAAAAGACGTTCACTCACTGTCAATATGCACGAATTGATGAAAAACAATACAGTGTGGACACATGTCATCCTACGAGTGTTACCAACCGACGAACAAGTAATTTTAAACGTCGATGTTTACAACACTGATGAGAGAAAAACCCTAGTTCATTTACCCAAACTGCTGTCATTTAAACGTCAAATAATAATCGAGGAAACTCAAGACAAAGCAATCCACTATGAGTTGGTAGTACCGAATTTGGATCATTTGATACAGTCGTACCAACTTTACGTCGAACCGATTCAATGTGTCAATCAATTTAAACACGCCACGGCTAGCTTGATTGTACCATGGGAACACCAAAACCAACACAAATTTTTTATCGACAGTGATAATCGACCAATGAATATTAGATTGTATAGTTCAAGGCCACAATGGGCCGCAAACAAGTCGGCTATGATCCAATTGAGACTTGATCCGACTTGTCGATACAAAATCAGTATACAACCGTCACTTGTCGGCGTTTTATCACAGTTGGCACGATTTTATTCACCATTGTTGATTGTTAATGTGGCAGCAGTGGTTTTAGTGGCCTTAAATTCGCAATTAAAATCCCTAGAAGAGAAAAATGACTGTTGTTTATTATTTACAGCAATCAAAGAAGGTGCTAAACCTTATTATATTTTGACAAGTGTCAAATTAATTTCACGTTTTTTGAGGTGTGTACGCAACATTTCATATTAATTGACATTTTAAATGACATTTTAGTACTAAACCGTTTGTCAGTTATTTGCCGGCGCCTGATTGGCTGATAATGTCAGAGGAGGGGACAGATTTCTTTCTATTGCCCCTCCTACTTTATATTTGCAGCGTCGGTATTGTCTGGCTCTTGGGGATTTTTTTGGCCGTTTCGTTGGTAGTATGTGAAACGACTGTACATAAACTCACTCTAAAGTAAGTATCACACTGGAGAAAAATCATTAATGAATGTAGGTTTTTGGCAAAAACTGTCAGTTTTACTGTCAGTTGGTCCGATTATATAATGTCAGCATTACACAAACTGCCTTGCATTGTTGCCACATTTCTTATTTGTCTTTGTATGACAACAACTGGTAGTCTTGCACTTTGTGTCGGAATGGTTTTTTATTTTATGAGGGTGAGTATTCCCCGACTGTCTTTTTTTTCATTTAATTGTCATTTGTTTAGCTAACACAACTGTCACAAGATTATATTGAGGAATTAGTGTGGTATTACGTGAAAAAAATCGGTAAAAAACTTAAAAAATCGCAAGATAACTGTAGTAATAATAGTGGTGAAACACCCGGTCACAATACTATATTTTTCCACGCCACTCTATTCCTATTGTGGTCCATACTAACCGCCATAAATGTACCATACGTGCTAACCTGGGCTCACAATTTCAAGTAAGTGGCTTTACCACACCTCCACGTCTCTCATTGGTCGGTTTCAGGTATAGCACCGCCCTCAAGCCAGACCCCGCCTTTTATCCCGGGCTGGTTTTAAGCATTTGTGCGTTGGCGCTGTGGCAATTGGACGTGCCGAAAATTGAAAGGTGGGGCTTGGGTGGAGTTTCAAATGTATTAATTTTTTTTATTCAGGAAAGGTTATGTCAAGCTAAGCCAATTGATTATAGTTTTGGCCGTCGCTAGCTTGATTTATGCACCGATTTCAATTTTTAGATTAAATTTCACACTGACTAGTGCAATAGTCTTGGTTACTTTGCATCAGTTGGTAGCACCGAATCGGGAAATACCCGAAGTTAGCCAAACCGAACAACCGATTTCTTACGAAACGATCAAAGCGAAACTTGAATAATTTAGATGGTTCTAGTCATGTGATCTCTGCTTTTGTTTGTTTATTTATTCAAATTTCCCGCGCCATGTAGGGGACCAAAGATGGCGGAATGGGACTCTACACCAAAAATCGTGATTTTCTCGAACAATTTTATTATTTACGTTGTGTTAGACACGATTTGCTAATAAAATGCTGTATTTTAAGCTTTAAATGCCACAGTATTTCATTGTTTGTCTTTGGACTCAAATAAATCAATTGTAACCTTAATTTAGCGTTTTTTTGCAATTTTCTTACCTTAAGACTTCCCTCATCGTTTTGACACTAAACCACACAGAAATTACGGTTTTTTTTCACATTTTTATCACTAATAACACTTTTTTGCACGAATCAAACCGACAATGCGCTCTCGCGTCTAGCGCCCTTGGAACACTGCTACCAACCTCAAAACATAAATAACACTAGAAATTTAAACATTTTTACGAAAATTTGTTTAAAGAATATCTAAAACTGTGATCCCCACTCACAGAAAATACGGTTTGTAACGCATTTTAAACACTAAACGCACTAAACAAACCGGCATTGCACCAATACCGCTACCAATCTCGAAACATAATAACACTAGAAATTTAAACAAGTAGCGGCAATTTTAACCGTTTTGTTTTTTTTTTTTAAATAAGGATCAAAAATTGTGCTTTTTATTCTCAGAAAACACTGTTTTTATCACATTTTTACCAGTATAACACTTTTTCGCACTAAACATCGCTACCAACCTCGGAACATAATGGCACTAAAAATTTAAATAAGGGCGGCAATTTAAACCGTTTTTGCGATTCCTTTAAAAAATATATAAAACTGTACTTCTCACTCTACATTTTACTCTCAAAGTAGTTTTTCCGGAAACTGTCAGTTTTGACAATGTCACCATTTCAAAGTATTCTCTTATTTTCGTCAATTTTTCTTGATTTTTCCACCTCGAAAAGCTTGAAAAGACCCAAAAGGCAACAAGACAATTGTAAAGACACTGTTGCCCTCCAAGACTGGTAAAAACACACCAAAAACGAAAAAATACAAAAGAATAATTTCTAGTGTGGTTGGTAAAAATGATGACGATGAAACTATTCATTTATTACGAATAAAAAGCAACCAAATAGTGGCCCATTTTCAGACTGAATGTGACTTCGACGAGATCAAATATCACTGGCTTTTAAGGGACGAAGACTTGAAAAATCATGTTGACACTGAAACCAACACCAATACCTACATTCTTGAGCCTTTTGCCCTTAAAAGTGGCCTTTATGCAGTCCAAATCACTGTGAAATTGCTCCGAAAGGAATCCAAAAACGAATTACACGCTGCGGTAAGTAAAAATTGCAAATTCTTCCCCCAAAAATTTTTATTAAAGTGTTTGGTGAGTATTGACGCACTTGACCCTTTGCCCATCATCAGTGGGGGCACCGAACGAACAATTGAAGCCGGTCATAGTTTCATAATGGATGCTTCTGAATCCATAGACAGAGATGTCCCTTTAAGGGCCCCCCCAAAGTTGTCTTTCAAATGGCAATGTCAGGTTTTGATCGGCCAAGAGAAAAGTTTCTGTCAAAAAGAGTACCATGGTGGGTCAATTCCAGTACCCTTCATCTCCTAACTCTAACCTTCCAGGAAGCACCCTTGTGGTACCACCGAGCACCAACCAAAAGTACCTTTTCACCCTCAGTGTCAAAACTGATTCTAGTACTTGGGTCAGTACCAACCAAACTGTGACAATTTTGCTCAAAGCCTCCGAATTGGAGATAATTTGTGAGAAGAATTGCCCTCCAGCAGCCCCTCTCACCGTCCCCCAAAGACTGACTTTCCTGCGAGTGATCTGTCGCAGGAATTGTGAAGGGGTGGAAGAAAGTGCCTACACGTGGACTGTTGACAATTTTGACTATCAAAACACACAATTCGGACGAAATTCCGACAAATTCATCGTCAAAGAAGATGTTTTTAAGCCGGGACAAGTCAAAATTCGAGTTGACCTAAAAAGTGGTGGTACCGCTAGTGAAACTTTAACAATTCAAGAACCAATCAAAATCGAATCGTGTCAAGCTAAACCAACTCAGGGAGTTGCAATCGAGACAAAGTTTAAAGTTGAGTGTAAATACACCGGTGAAGGGTACAACTTTGAAGTTTTAACGCGGAAAAATGGTCAAGTTGTGGTACTCAACAGGAATTACAAGTTAGAAGGCTTGGAGTTTGTCCTTCCGGTTGGTACCAACGTCTATGTCAAGATTATCGACGCTGAGGAGTTTTCCGATGAGTTTGAACTCAAAGTTCAGGTAAATTACCAATTTTTGGGTTTTTTTTTCTTTCATTTCAAAAAAGGTCAACACTGGTGACACTTCCGACACCGAAATCACCCATTTGACCACCTCAACCATCCCCAATTTGATCAAAACCGGTGATACAGACCTCGCCGTCCAAATAACCAATGCCTTGATTGAAACCCTTGACACCAAAGGCCCTTCAACCACCACCAAAAGCACCAAAATGGCCCTTTTGCGAAATTTCCAAAACATTCGAATTAAATCACAAGCAAAAGCGCGACAAATCGCCCAATTGGTTGCTCGTCTTGTTCATAAATCGGAATCTGATCCTGATCGAGGTCAAGTCGCCTCTGAAATTTGCAAAAATTCAGCTGTAGTTGACCACGCCCAAATGACACAAGACTACGCCCCCAAAACATTGACACGTGACACGATTGAAGCCACTAAGACACTTTTCGAATGTGTGGAAACTGATACTAAACCAAATCCGCCCATTTTAGTACCTAAGCCACTCCCGTTTAATGTAACCACGCCCTTTCCACTTCTTACAATCCCCGTCCTTGAAGAGAATTATCCTGATTATGAAACTGATGATGATGTTTGGGATAAAACGAAAAAATATGACACAACATCGGTGAATTTTATTAAAATATGTCAGACGAGTTTAGAAATGTTGGCGTTGACTGTTGTGGAGGGGGAAAAGACAGTTGTAATGTCAATTGATGATTCATCGGCTCAGATTACTAGATTAGTTGGGCGAAAGTTGATTAAGAATGAAATTGACATGTCAGGTGGTACTTTTCAAGCGTCACGTGATGTTGGTAAAGTGGAGGGGGCTGTTGACGTCAGAGTGTGTTGTTGGCAGTATGACCCATTTTGGTGGAACAAGTGGGAAATTGTCACAAACATTTTCCTAGTCCGTATAGTCACTAATAAGACAATTTTGAGGAAATTCAAAGAACCAAATAAAGTGGTACTTGATCTACATAAAGAACAACCAGTGAAGGTACTACCAGTTCAAAAAAATGACAATTTGGTGGTTCTAAGAATTGAGGTTAAGGCTAGAGAAGCGTTTTTTATCAATTTCCAGACAAGTACCACTCTTCGGGTACTTATCACAGTTTTTGAAAAACCCTCAAAAGAGGAAATTGGGAGTAAAGGTGAACACGTGACTGGATCAAAACAATTGTACTACGATTATGACCGAGTGTACGATTCGTGGTGTTACATTTCGGTGGTACCAGAAACGGTTTGATCATGGAGGTACCAATAATGGTCAAAAATTTTGATTTTGTTTTCAGGGTGGTTCCAATTTTGATGTTAGTGTTTACAGTACATCATGTTTTTCGTATAACTACACAATTGAGAAATGGTTTTTCGCTTGCAAAGTAACAATTGACAATCATTGAACCATTTGTGACTTTGAACCATTTCAGGGTACGGCTAAATCGACCAAAAAGAAAATTTTTTGTTTATGTAACCATTTATCAATTTTGGCGGGAGTGGTTCATAATAACACAATTAAAATCGACGAAGTTGAAACTAAACCAGATTTTGAGATGGTTTTGTTGTGCTCACTTGTGATTTTTATCACACTTGCAACCATTTTATTTATTTATTTTTTTTGTTTGGTTCTTGTGATACTGAAGAGAAAGAAAAAAATTGCGGTTTATTTACCTCCCGATATTTCCTCATCCTCCCGTTATGTTTACTTGGTTGGTATCAAAACCGGTCGAAAACCATCATCTGGTACCTCCTCAAACATTTGTATCAAAATTTTTGGCGAGAAAAGTAGTACCAAGAGTCACATTTTGAACTACCCTGATCCTCACAAACGGATATTTCAGTGGGGGAACCACGACTGGTTCCTAGTACCAACCCTCAATACTTTGGGTGAAATAACCGAAGTGGCTTTATGGTCGGACTACACCGGACGAACACCCAGATGGTACTGTGCTAACATAACCATTTATGACTTACAAACCGCTGAGAAATGGTACTTTGAGGTAAATAAATGGTTCGAGGTACCTCCCAAATACCAGACTTATAATAAAATCCGGGTTGGGAAATTTGCAAGGGAAAATGGTTGGGGACGAAGGTTGAGGTTTTGGCCTCGAATGTTGTACCAAGCCGACTTTGATCATTTTATAAGAACCACTTACTTGTTATCAATTGTTTTAATGATATGTGTGGTGACTTTGATTATGTATGGACTACCACGATTTGTACTCGCTGATGGTTTTGCATGGTTTTACGACTACACACCACGATGGGAAATGGTTTTGATCGGTTTTGGAAGTTCAGGAGTTACATTTATGGTTCATATAACATGGATTTGGTTCTATAAGTTGTACAAGAAACGAGCAAAAACCGTTTTAACCGTAATAATAGTCACAAATGTCACAATTTTGGTGGTTTTTGGGTTCTGGAAACCATTAATCATGGGTTGGTTTTGGTTAACTTCAGTCATACTAGCGATTGTGTTTTATTTCCTCTTTTGTGAGAACTTGTATGAAGTTTATTTCGTTTGGAGGAACCACAAGGTGACTGAAGATGATCCAACTATAGTCGAAACGTTTAGAAAGCATTTACGCGAAATGGAAATTCAAAGAAAATTTCTATTTCAAGCTTTTGGTGAGAATCTTTTGCGACCTTATTTTGGTCATATTTACACCCCCATGGAGGAGCAACAAATTAAGGTAAAACTCCTCCCGTTAGCTTTTTTCTGTAAACTAACCCAATTCCAGATCCGTAGAGGGCAATTTTTGGCCCGTGTGCAACTTGTGACCCTTCTCGAGGACACCACAATGTTTATTTGTTATGTCACTCTTCTTTATCTTGTTATTTTTGCAAATAAGAACCCTTTATCCGTCTATAATCACATTGAAATGGCTGATCTCCTCAAAGGGGTACATACACGTACTGAAGGCTACTCGGAAATCGCCTCAACTGACGAGTACCCCTCCCTCAACACCTCAATCAAGACAACTAACCTCAAATTTCAGATTTTACGAGTATTTGAACGGGACAGTGATACCAACCTTGCATTCGCAACACTGGTACCACAAATACGTCGTCAAGAACCCAGGAATAATGGCCGATTTTAATAATAAGTTCCTGGGGGTGGCTCGTTTGCGTCAGAAACGTACAGTTTTGCATCCCTGTCGTCAAGTGTTTGATTTTGTCAAAAATGAGACTTGTCACGGGGAGTATATGCACTCATGGTCAAACACGAGTACTTTTGTACCAGAATACAACAAGTTTGTTCGTTTAGCCCCCATTTGGGAGTACACCAAGGCGTATAAAGGGGGATTTTCGCTGGTTTGGGGTCAATTCGGGTGGTACTTTGGGGGTGGTTTTATTGCACCACTTGGTCGCACTTATTACAATTCCTATGCAAACTTCTACTACGTGTTTAAACATGATTGGCTCGATAAAGCCACTAGTGTGATAATGATCGAGTTTTTGACCTATAATGTCAATAGTAACTTGTTTAATGCTGTAAGAGTGGTAAGTGAGAAAAGTGCCACGGGTTACATACGAAATTTTCTCGATTTGAGTACTGCTCAATACTTGTTTGTGAAAAAAGAAGACGAAATTGCCGAATTGGTGATTCTAGGGTCTTTTTTCCTAATCGTTGCGATTTTCACCCTAAAATTAATCACACGTGCATTTAGGAAGAAATTGTTTTTTTTTCGCGATTTGTGGACTTTGATTGATGTAGTTATAGTGGGGATAACATACTCGTGTTTTCTTTTGTTTCTCGGTAGGATGGAATTGGTGAGGAAATTTCTTCACAAAGTCGAAAAATCGAAAAAGAACGAGTTTATCAACTTCTATGGTTTGCTTTTCGAAGATAAATCTTTCACTTACATTGCGGCTTTTTTGATTTTTATTTCGACAATCCGACTTTGGAAAATGTTACGTGCTGGTACTTTTTTCAAAATCGTGGAGAAAACTGTCATTTTGGGGTTTTCCCCGCTGATTATCCTGATGATAAACCACCGAATTTGCATTGCTGCGTTTTCCTTCACTGGTTTTATGATTTTCGGTCCTTATTCACGAAATTTCAAGGATTTGCTTGATGTTGCGATGACTCTCATGATTTTGAGTTTGGGGGTTCAAGGTGACTTTGATTTTGACATTCTTGCAATAACAAATCCTTGTATTAGTCGCATTTATTACATTGCCTACATGTTCCTCAATCTTTTATTCTCTACAATGTATGTCGCTGTTTTGATTGATTGTTACTACAAGGCACAAGTGGTAGTCGCAAGTGATTTGGAATTGACCGATTTGAGGAGTTTTCTTGTTAAAGAAGCCCGTTTTTGTGGGGTTTGGTTCAAAGTCGGGTTCCAAAGACTCAAATCTGGTACCATTCCAAAGCGACGCAAAGTCGCCCCAAAACCTGAGGAGTACCGGTATAAAAATTGTGTCACTATACAGGAGAATACTCTCGAGTTGATGTGCTGTATCGCGGTTTATGCCCTCAAAAAGTTGAGGTTGTCCGAGGAGGAGAGGTTGAGGTTGATGCATCGGGTGGTGAGGAGTGTGCGGAGGGTGAAGCAGACTGGGATTTTTTTCACGGAGAAGACCCAAAATGGGGTTATTAAGGTTGTTCCAGATGAGAGGATGAGGAGGGTTGAGAGGGCGGTTGAAATGATTCTGGATCCGGAACAGAAATGGAAAAAATTGAGGGAGGAGAGGTTTAGGAGTGTTGTGAGGTACCAAATGGATCAGTTGAATTATTTCAATCAAGTTTTGGAAACTGTTACGCGACTAGTGTCAAATATTCAAGTTGAATAAATTTTTAATTATTCAGTGAGTCATTTATTCAAATTCTAAAACTAATTAAATTCTAACGATGTAGATAAGGAAAATTATTATGCAAAACCATGTCTATATAAGTTTTTTTACTAAATATTTTTTTACATTTTAGTGCACAATGGCGAAAGCGATGAAAGTAAGTATTTTTCCAATGAAATGACACTTTTTATAGATTTTTAGGTTGTTTTGGTGGCTGTTCTGTTGCTTTGTATCAACACCCATCATGGATGTAAGATATTTTGGAGGTTTAACTTTTTTGTTAATGATTATTTTAGTGGCTCAGGGGGGTATGGGGGGAGAGCCAGGCGGAATGATGGGAGGAATGGAACCTGGAGGGATGGGTGAAATGGGAGGAATGGGAGGAGGGCCGGGCGGAATGGGAGGAATGGGAGGAGGGTCGGGCGGAATGGGAGGAATGGGTGGAGGGCCGGACGGAATGATGGGAGGAATGGGACCCGGAGGAATGAGTGAAATGGAACCCAATCCAAAGCCGGCGAATGAAAAATAATGCATAATTATGTCAAATTTTTATAAACACTGTTTTAATGACATATTTCGAAAAAATAAAACTTAATTAAGCAAAATGTAGTTTAATTTCATTAATTGAAAAGCAAATTTGACTCCGGATTTGTCAAACATTTACATTTTTTGGTCATTTTTTAGGCAACTAATTCCCATTTCATAAAAATTTCAGTGAAATTCCAGTGATTCCATTGTTTTCAGTTTAATTCTTATAATTCCAAATTAATTCTTGTCTTTTATGTAAATTTGCTTAAGACCTTAGTTTAGTTTTTTCAAAAATTAAAAAAACTAAAATTGCTTCCCCACTTGAAACTAAAACTTTGATCGACCCCAGGTTTTCGCCATTCGATAGATAATTTAAGGCAGAGTTCGACAGTTTTTTTTTATTTTCTTGTGGAAAACGCCCTTAAATTTTCGAAAAAGCTAATTTTTGACTTTTTGCATTTTTTTGCAAATCTGTTTTTTTTTTCAAAAATTAAAAAAGCTTTCCAGCGGTACCAAACAAAAGGGCCTACGCCAAATAGTTCCGGAGTTATGGACGAATATCTCTTGGTACGAAAATCGGTTAAAATTTCGAAAAAATTAAAATCTTCAAAATTGGTCCAAATGATCTTTTTCACACTTCTAGAGGTACTAGTGACTCAAAAAAATGCATAACACGTTCTTGGGCCGTGTTTGAAAAAAATGTTTTTTTTTCCAATTTTTGGACGAAAATCTGTTCCGGGTACTGAAAATCCTATAATTCCAAAATAATTACTACAATTCCAAATTAATTCCGACAGTTCTAAGAAATTCAATGTGATTTTCAACCCTGGTAATTCCAAAAACAATTCCAGTAGTTCCAAAAAACATCGATTAAATTCTAATTGACAAAAAACAAAAAAAAAGAATTATTCAGTGATTCATAGATAACGAAAATTATTCAAAACCACTACTGATACATAAGTTTTTCTACACTATTGTTTACATTGTAGTTTGCAATGGCGATTATTGACACCCAAACTGTCTCAATGTCAAAAATTTGCATTTCTGGGGCAACTAATTCCAATTCCAAAAAAATTTCACCGAAATTTCAGTAATTTTATTATTTTCTTTTTCGATTTTACAATTTTTGCAAAACGCGTTTTAATTTTCGAGAAGTCTAATTTTGCAGTATTTTGCATATTTGTTTTTTTTCTGAGTAACTAGACGTCATAGGCCTATGACCCTTTTTTCTGTAAGATGGAAAATTAAAAGAGCTTTCCAACCGTACCAAACAAAAGGGCCTACGCCAAATAGTTCCGGAGTTATGTACAAATATCCGCTCTCGGTAGGTACCAAAAATCGGTCAAAATTTTGATAAAATTAAAAACTGTAAAATCAGTCAAATGATGTTTTTCACACATGTTCGTGACTGAAAAAAATGCATAAATGTGTAAAATTGCTTCCCTACTTGAGACTAAAACTTCGATCGACCCCAGGTTTTTGCCATTAGATAGATAATTTAAGGCAAAATTCGACGGTTTTTAATTTTTTTTGTAGATTTTACAATTTTTACATAAGACGCGTCTAAATTTTCGAAAAACCTAATTTTTGACTTTTTCTGTTTTTTGCATATTTGGTTTTTTTTGAGTAATTAGGCGTCATAGGTGTATGGTCATTTTTTTGTAAAATGGAAAATTAAAAAGCTTTCTAACGGTACCAAACAAAAGGGCCTACGCCAAATAGTCAAAATTTCAAAAAAAGAAAACTTAAAAATCGGCCCAAATCACGTTTTTCACACTTCTAGAGGTACTTGAAACTCAACAAAATGCATAATACGTTCTTGGGCCTTAAAAAATGTTTTTTTCTTCGAAGTTTTAGGCGAAAATCTGCTTCGGGTACTGAAAATTATACAATTCCAAAATAATTACTACAATTCCAAATTAATTCTGATAGTTTTAGAAAATTCAATGTAATTTTCAAAAATAATGATCTCTAATAATTCCAAAAAAAAATTCCAGTAATTCCACGTAATTTCTATTAGATTCTAATTGACAAAATACAAACAAAATGACACAACAATACATTATTCAATGATTCATAGATAACGAAAATTATGCAAAACCACTCCTATATAAGTTTTTCTACACTATTTTTTACATTGTAGTGTGCAATGGCGATAAAAGTACGTATTTTTCAATTAAATAACATTCCTTCTAAGTTTTTTAGGTTGTTTTGGTGGCTACCTTGTCGCTTTGTATCAACATTCACCATGGAGGTAAGAATTTTTAGTTAAACTTTTTTAATAATTATTTTTAGTGGCAAGAAACACGCAGTTTGCAGTTGGTTCCTTAGATCCATGGATAGGCGAAATGGAACCACCGGACGAAATGGGACCTGGAGGAAATATGAAGGGATTTGATCAACTATTTCCCCAAGACTATGAAGAAAATTTTTCCCACCGACCTTATGCGTACGTACCCATTGACAAGCCAATACGCACAGGGAATGGGTGGATTAGAGAACAGATGTGACAAATAATACTTGTTTTTGTCAATTTTTGCGAAAAATCGTCGTTTTAATGACACATTTCAAAAAAATAAAAGCTAAGTGAGCAAAATGAAGTTTTATTGACACCCAAACTGTCCCAATGTCAAAAATTTGCATTTTTTTGATCATTTTTGCCGTCACCGAAGCCAGATTTAGACGAGACGACGATTGTCAAGACGAAATCGTCATCAACCCAGAACTTTGGTACAATTTCTAACTCAAAATCAAAAATTTTACCCCAACTTTTAGTTCGCCTGATTACGACAACGAAGCAGTTATGTCGGTGACAAACAGTGAAAAAATACTCAAAAGTGAGTTAAAAACTAAATGTGAGTACGATTCAAAGTCATCCGTTTGGTACATCAATGACGATGTGAAGAAAAAAAACGCCGAGGAATTCACTATCGTCCCCAGCGAGCTTGATCTTGGTATAACCACTGTCCAAGTGGAGATGGAAGTCAAAAGGGGGGACCAAATTTCAAAACCTAAACTCCGGTGTTACATCAAAACCGTCACGCAGAAGTTAAATGTGGTTATCGAAGGTGGTACCTCCAGGACAGTCGATGAAGGTTCCGATTTTGTCATGGATGGTACCAAAACGAACAAATATCAATTGGAACCAAGCGAAGAGAAGGACTGGAAGTTCAAGTGGGAGTGTTCACTGCAAAAGGGTACCAATTCGGATTTCTGCAAGAAAAAATACACAGGGAGTACCCTTACAGTACCCGCGAAGTTCGCACTCAAAAACCACGTGTATAAATTCACTCTAAATGTCAGAGCAAGTGACCAACTTCCATGGGAAGAAGCCACTCAAGTTGTGACAATTACAAAAACAAACTGCAAGGATAGAGTGACCATTGACCCAAAATTTTGGTAAACCACCATGAGTACCAATTTGAGGAAAAATCACCAAAATTTTTAGTACCCCAAACAAGAATCAACCATTTGATTTGACTAAAAGTCAAGTCCTTGAAGGTAAGTTCACAAGTAACTGCGATGTCTATTCCAAGAAATTCGAATGGTACCTCAATGGTAAAGAACATTCTGATGGTACCCAATTCCAAGCCGACAAAAAAACCCTTTCTGAAGGTTTAAACGAGATTAAATTAGTAACAGAAGTCAATAGATTAGGCAAAATCCTGCGTCCTGAAACCATCTGTTACATAAAACTCACAAAACCACCATTGAAACCCATTATTCAAGGTGGTACCTCTCGTACCGTCGATGAAGGTTCCAGTTTCGTCATGGATGGTTCCCAATCGCTTGACGATGAAGGCAAACCCAACTCTTCGGGAAGATTGGAATACAAATGGCAATGTGTACTTGAAAAAGGCCCCTTCGACAATTTTTGCCAACACATATATCGTGAGAGTACCATAACAGTACCAGCCGAGTACTCAATCGGTGGTTCCGTCTATAAATTCACTCTTAGTGTCAAAATGGACGATGATGTGACTTGGGATTACAAAACCGACCAAATTGTGACAATCCCTCAAAAACAACCAACAGGGATTAAAATCAAATCGTGTCAAGTGACCCCAAAAACTGGTACTGCTGTCAAAACAAAATTCAAGGTTGGGTGTCAATACACAGGTGATGCGGCTTCATTTGAGGTTTACACAGTTAAACAAGGCAAAAGTACGCGATTTGAGTGAGTTTCAAGGATTAATCCCACATTTCTAGATGTACCACTTGTTGATGCTGTCCGAATTGAGGATTTAGAATTTCTCCTCCCGAGTGATGTTGAGGTTTTTATCCGGATTAAAGACATTGAGGATTCTAGTGACGAGTCAAAGTTAAATGTTAAGGTTCAAAGTGCCTCAAGTGAAATCACGAGTTTGACTCAAAATGTCAAAGATTTGGTCAATGACAAACAAGTATCAAAGGCGGTACAAATCGCCAATGGGATTATTGAGGAGATTGAGTCAAATCCCAATGAGAAAAACAGGGAAATCAAGCAAGACTTGTTGAAAACTTTCGTTGAAACAAAGGTGGAGTCACATGAGGATGCTCAACAAATCTACTCAATTGTCAGTCGAATTGTTTACAATCCTGATGCGGAAAGTGACCCTTTTCAAGGCGAATTGGCCACTAAAGCGTGCAAAAATAACGCCAAAATCGATTTTACCAACTTGAAAAGCAAACATTTCCCTAAAAAAATGGCAAAGGAGATTAGAACCAATGCGAAAATTTTGATGAATTGTGGCGTGACTGACACCAAACCGAACCAGAAACAATTGGAGCAGAAAAGACTCGATTTTAATGTCACTACCCCGTTTCCGGTGGTCACACTTCCGGTCATAACGGAAGAGTACCAAGACTATGACGCCAATGACAATGCGGCTTCCAAAGCCCAAAAATACGAAGAAGCCTCACGAAATTACATCGATATTTGCAAAACGACACTTGAAATGTTGGCTTTGACCTCTATCAAGGACACGATTATGACCTCTACGGTCAATGTCAGTGCCCAAGTGACACGTTCCCAAGGTTGGAAACTCCTAGGTCGTGAAATAAAAATTTCAGGTGCTACATTTTCCCTTTCACAAGATTTGGATACAAACGATTTAGTCGATGTGATGGTATGTTCCTGGCGGAGGAACCCATTCTGGTGGATGGGTTGGGTCGTGGTAACTAACGTGGTACTAGTCAAGGTTAGCAAAATGGGCCAGGATTTGGTACATTTCAACCAACCACTCAAAATGGTTTTGGAGGTGCACCAAAACCGGAAAGAGGAAATTGTGGTTCATGAAATCGTCAATGGTGGTTTGACCGTAGTGAGGATTGAGGTCAAGGCAGGACAGAGTTTTTTCGTAAAATTTTTGCAAACCACCAGTGATTTTCGGGTACTTTTGACCGAGTTTGAGAAACCTTCCTTGAGTATGGTTCAAAATGGTCAATTGGTGCAAGATGGACAAGTTTTGTACCAGGAGAAAGTGAGCGGGTATGATGCTTGGTGGTACATTTCGAGTGTGTCAGGAGGGTACCATTTGAGTGTTTATACCATGTCGTGCTACCAATGGAACGTGAGTCGGAAAATTTGGGTTTTTGCATGTAGAGGTGGTGCCAATTCGAGTGGTACCCAAATTGAGTGTTTGTGTAACCATTTATCGATTTTGTCAGGGATTGTGTATAATAACCCAATCAAGGTTGAGAATAATGTGACAGAACCAGATTTCCAAATGGTACTAATTCGGTCACCCATTATTTTTATCTGTGTTGCCACCATTGTGGCCCTCTATTCCGTTTCTTTGATTCTTGTTGTGAAAGAAAGAGTCAAAACAATGATTATCTACGTTCCTAGTGACATTTCCTCGTACTCAAGGTACCCCTACTTGGTTCTGATTCAAACAGGAAAAAAACCATCATCTGGTACTTCCTCAAATGTCTGTATTAAAATTTTCGGCGAGCTGGATTCAAGTCAAAGCCACGTCCTCAATTATCCCGATCCTCATAAAAGGATGTTCCAGTGGGGTACCAATGACTGGTTCCTGATCCCAACTAGAAGCTTTCTTGGTCAAGATTTGGAAATCGCCCTCTGGATTGACTACACAGGCCGATCACCATCATGGTACTGCCTTTACGTAATCATCTACGATTTACAAGCCAGTCACAAATGGTACTTTAAAATCAACCAATGGTTGGATCTACCACCCAGAGGTAACGTCTATATCAAAATTCCCGCATCGGAGGAAACAAAACAAAGAAAATTCTCAATGGTACGACTTTTACCACGACGGTCATACCAAACCGATTTTGATTTTTTCACCAAGATGACTCTACTACTCTCAATTGTTTTAATGGTATATTTGACGTGTTTGGTCATGTATGGTGTACCACAACTTGAGTTGAGCGATGGTTTTGCATGGTACTGCCATTATGGTTTTCATTGGGAACCAATCGCTATTGGTTTTGGATGTTCAGGGGTCACATTCTTGACTCATATGATTTGGGTATGGTTTTACAGGTTTGCCCAAAATTTTGACTTACTTCAAGTCCAGAATTTTTCGTTCCAGACGGGCAAAACTCGTCAGTTTGGTGATTTTGACGGCAAATATTGTTACAAGTGTCACAATTTTGGTGGTTTTCGGATTTTGGGAACCACCAATAATGAGTTGGTTTTGGTTCACGTCGGTGGTACTCGCCCTGATGGTTTATTTCCTCGTTTTGGAGAATTTATCTGAGGTGTTTTGGAAGAAAAACGGTGAAAAATTCGTCTGGACTGATCATTTGTCTCGACTTTTTCGCGAGGTTGAAACCCAAAGGAGGTACCTTTTTCGGAAATTTGGAGAAAACGTTTTGCGTGCCTATTTTGGGCACTTGTACCAACCAATGGACATTTCCGAGATTAAAGTAAGTCTATTAAAGGGTATTAAAGACTACTTTGTGGTTTCAGAAACGTAAACACCAAATTTTTTCACGTTTCAAAATTTTGGCACTTCTCGAAGACACAATTATGTTTTCATGCTACATAATCCTTCTTTATTTGGCAATTTATGCTAATAAGAACCCACAAACGATCCTCAATCATGGGCAATTCCAAAATTTGATGGCTGGATACTCTAATATTACTTCAATTTCGGGGTACTACCGGTACCTTAACATGACTTTTGCCCCAACTTTACACCTCCAACAATGGTACTCGAAATACGTGGTTGATGCTCCGGGTACCATGTCGGATTTTTGTAACAAATTCCTCGGCGTGGTTCGCTTACGCCAGAAACGAGTCATCAAGTACCAATGCAAGGTACCATCGTATTTGAAATTTGCCCAAACGAACTCATGTCGATCGGAATTTTGGTACTCCATGGAGAGTCATACAAATTTCAGTTATTTGGCCCAATTTAGACCCATCTGGAACTATACCATTCCCGAATTAGCTGGGATTACGGTAGTTGTTGGTAAATTTGGGATATATGATGGTGGGGGTTTTGTATCCCCTCTTGGTCGTACTTTATACAACACTTATGTCAATATTAACTACATGGTGGATAATAAGTGGATAGATGGAGCCACCAGTGCAATTTTCTTGGAGTTTTTGGCCTATAATGTCAACACAAACTTGTTTAACGTGATACGACTTGTGACCGAGTTAAGTACTACCGGTTTTTTCCGGAATAAACTGGAATTGGACACTGTCCAATTGCTTTTTGTCAGAGATGAGGATAGTATCGTCCAGGTTGTGATTTTTGGGGCTTTTATCGTCATCGTGTTTGTTTTTACGTTGAAGATTTTGACACGAATCTGGCAAGGGAAGGGTTTGGTCATGTTCCAGGATCTCTGGATTGTGGTCGACTTGATCATAGTTGGTATGAGTTATGGGTGTTTTGTTTCGTTCGTCTATCGAACCCAGTTGGTCAAAGAGTTTTTGTCGAAAATGGAAAAAGTCAAAAAGAATCAATTCATCAACTATTTCCATTTGGTTTATGCCGAATTGACATTCACACTAGTGGCAGCATTGCTTGTTTTTGTGTCAACAGTGAGATTGTGGAAGTTGTGCCGTTTTGGCACCGTTTTCCAGATCATGGAGAAGACATTAGCTTCGTCAATTGTGTCAATTTTATCATTATTTGTCTCACATATTTGTTTCATTGTTGCTTTCACTTTTCTTGGTTGTCTAATTTTTGGTTTTGAATCTGATGATTTCAAAGACATGGCTGATAGTTCTGTCTCTTTGATGCGACTCTCGACCAGATTGATTAATTCTTTCAATGTCGATCATTTGATTCGTTTGAATCCGGTTTTGGGTAATGTTTTTTTCACCTCTTATATGATGATAAATCAGTTATTGGTGTCACTTTACGTTTCTATAATCATAATTTGTTACCACAAAGCAGTTAGGGTGAATACTAGTCATCACGATTTTACTAATTTGAAACAATTTGTTTCGAAAGAAGTCAATTATTATAAAACTTCGTTCCAAGTGGCGTTTTTTCGTCTCAGAGCTGGACGTGGCAAAAATTTTGTAAGTCCAAAACCGGACGAAATTCGTTACGAAAACTGTCTGACTTTGTCGTCAAACACTTTGGAATTGATGCGTTGTATCGTTTGGTATGACTTGAAGAAGTACACCATGAGTGGGCGAGAGAAGTTGGAGTTGATGGAACGTGTTGTTGGGACTTGTAGAGCGAGTCCAAACGAGTTTTTTTTCACGGGAAAGGCCAAACGCCGAATACGGATCATCCATGATGAGAGGATTCGGAGAGTGGCAGCTGCGACTCAATTAATCTTGTTTTTTGATGTTGAGAGGAAGAAACGACAGGAGGAGAGAGTGAAACTGGTGTTGAAACAACAGGAGATTGTCTTGGATTATGTCTTGGAGGTGTTGAAGACTGTTTTGACTATTGTTTCGAATATTGATGTAGAGTGAAGATAATAAATGTTTGAATTAAGTTGGCTCATTTCATTTTTTCGAAATTTTTTTCTTTGGCTAAAATATGAATGAAGTTTCTGATACTACCTCTAGTTCCTCTGGTGACTCAACAACTCGAAAATGTGAGTGAAATTCAGTTTCAACTTGTTTAATTTGAAATTTTTCAGCATGTTTGCGTCAACGGTATTTAGTGACTTTCATGATTCTACTAATGACAATCAACTTGTTTGCAAACCGTTCGCTTATCGGCGAGACTTTGGGTTATTTCGCTGTGATAAGACACAAAACTAATCACAGTTTATTCCTAAATCAGTGTGTGGAATTGCAACGAGACGCTGTGAAAAAATCACCAAATGTTAGCATTCAATTTCTTATTTCTCTCACAAAACGAAGGATTTTTCAGAATTTCACCAAAATCCTCACAATTGACAGTGATACAAGCAAGAGCATCCAAGGCATATTCTTCATCAGCTACTTGATTACCCACTTTCCATCAGGGATTTACTCAGATAGTCGCAACCCAAAACACTTAATTTCATTTTTGACAATCGCATGTTCGCTTATCAATTTTTCAAGTCCGTCGCTTATCAAAGTGACAAAAGGCAACGTAAATGTGATGAGACTTGTGACTGTACTTTTGGGCGCATTTCAGGGGATTTTTTTCCCCGCGACGGCGACTGTGGTGGCCCATTGGGCCCCCACGCGGGAGCGAGCTGCCCTAACATCGATTACAGTCGCTGGGTTGTTTTTTGGGCTTAGTACGGGGGCTATTGGTACTAAGTTTATTGTGCAATCATCGGGGGATTGGACAACGCCGTTTTATGTTTTCGGGGCTATTGGGATTATTTTGACCCTGGTTTGGGAGCTCTGGGTGTTTCCAAATCCTCACAAGGATCCAAGGATTACACCGGAAGAGAAACAGTACTTGGATCAGGAGATGCGTAAGTGGGATTGAGCAAAATTGTCAAACTTCAATTTCACAGTGTCAAATAGTGTGATTTTAGTAAAGTCTGGTTATTTAACGAAAATCACCAGGTCAAATTTTTGAAAAAAAAATTGGTGGAGCTCTCTGTAGTAACAAATTTTTGGTTTTTGATAATAAATCATTTGCAATTTATTAATTTTTGTGTTAAATTTAAAAAATTGCGATTTTTTACACTGATGTGACAAAAGTTCCGACATTGTCGCACCATATGAATTATTTATATCAAAATACTTTAAACTCTGTTTTTTTTTTATGAAAAACTGAAACGATATAGAAATAGAAAAATTATATCATTTTTAATTTAATTAGGTTTGTTTTAGCCACTATTTCGATTTAATTTTGTCATTTTTTATTTTAAAAACGTGCAAAAATGACATTATTTTTGACCGAATTCGGCTTGTTTTTAATAATATTTTGCGAAATAATTGCGTTTCTAGCTGAAAAATTTGCTAAAACGGCCGAAAAATGCAATAATACTATGATTTTTGACTAAATTTGTTGATTTTTTTATTTCTTATAGCGAAATCTCCCAAAATACTTAAAATTTTAGTATAAAAACGTGCTTAAAAGCATTTTCGAGCAAATTCTGTGGTTTCTCGTCATAATTTTGCTTTAATTTTGCACAAAAACAAACAAAATAACATCAATTTTAATTTATTGTTTATTGTGATTTTTGGGCATGTTTGGGCAAGATTTTGAAAAATCAATMAGTTTCTGGTTCAAAAACAAATTAAGATTCAATTTTGTAAAAATTCAGCCTGTTTCAACACAATTTTTCAAAAATTTGTAGTTATTATTTTAAAAACGTGGTTAAACACTCGAGGAAAACATAAATGGCACCATTCTTGGCAGAGTTTCTTGAATTTTTGGTTTGTTTTTCACAAATTTTGTGAAATAATTTTGTTTTTAACGAAAAAATGTATTAAGACGTTCGAGAAATGAAAAAATAATCTAATTTTTGACTCAATTTTTTGATTTTTCAGTTTGTTTTAGCGAAATCTTTCGAAAAACTTGAAATTTTCCCCAAAAATTAGTTAAACCAAGTGAAACAAAAAAACATGCATTTCAATTTATTTTTGTTATTTTTCAGTCAATTTAGATACAATTTTAAAAACGTGCTTCAAAACTAAAAAAAAAGTTTATTTTGTTAGATTCTTGACTTGTTTTTAACAAAATTTTACAAAATAATTGTCCTAGCAGAAAAATGTAAAGCATTTTAAAAAAGAGAAACTAAATTATCCTTTTTAATCCTATTTTAGTAAAACCTCGCAAAAATAGAAGTATTTGTAACTAAATTGAAGGTATTACAATTTTTTTTAAATTTGGTGAAATAACTAAATTTTGGGTTAGTAATTTTTGTAAAAACAATTGGTGCAGCTCTCTAAAGTCACAAACTGATTTTTGTTTTATTTTTTTAATTTTGAATATAACTTATAATTATAATAACTTTTGTATTAAATTCAAAGAATTACAATTTTAGCCATTAAAGTTGTTTTTTTACACTGATATAGCAAATGCTCCGACATTGTCGCACCATATGAGTTATTTATATCAAAATACATTAAGTAAAATTTGTTTTTTCTAACGAAAAACTTTGACTCAATTTGTCTTTCTTTTTGTGTTTATGTCTAAATTTTCTTAAACGATTTTTTTCCTGACATTGTTTGGAAAACCAGAACTTCAACTTCTTTTAGTAAAATTACCAATAATGAATTAGCCAGTGGTGCCAATGTTATGTTTGTATAGCATTTTTGTTTGAAATAAAACTATACCGAATATTTAATTCAATAATTTATTGATCAAAGTAACACAATCGACATTTATCACTTGTACGGTGGGGCAATGACCAAACTATTTTCAATTATTGCACTTTAATTTTATAAAATATGATGTTGTGATTACTTTTAAAAACTTACAACTACATTATTTATGGTTTTTTATACTGATATGACAAGTATTCCGACATGGCCGCACCATATGAATTATTTACGTCAAAATATATGAAGTGAGGTCTGTTGCAATGATAGCATCTTTAGTATTTTTACCCAATTCTTAAAAATGGATCAAAATTAAGTTTTGCTACTTAATTTCTGGGTTCATGTTAGTTTTTTTCATGATAGTCTTAAACCAAAAATTTTTTTTCAAATTTTTCAGAAGAAAACTAATAAATTAACAAAACTTGATGCTTTATGTGGTTAAAAGTTGAGGTTTTTAGACGAGATCATCGACCACAGACGCAAGAGCATCCCCTACGTCGCCATAATCACCTCCTTCCAAGTCTGGATCATGATACTTGCCCATATTTCCAACCGTTTCGTCTGGAATATCACCGGTGTGTCGCTTCCAGACTACATGCAAGATGTTCTTAAATACAGTCACGACCAAAGTAAACTAATGTCGTCACTACCTTTACTCCCAATGGCTGTGACTTTGATCATTTTGGGTTATTTCTCCGATTGGATCACTCGAAACGGTCATGTAAATGTGTTAACAATGCGAAAGCTTTTCTCAAGTATTGGAATAATGGGGCCTCCGATTTACATGTTAACCGGGTCGTATGCCGGTTGTAACCGTTTTGGTGCAGTGGTTATGCTTGTAATCGGTGTATGCCTCATGGGTTTCTCCTTCCTGGGTCTCTATTTACTACCAATGGATTTGTCCCCCAATTATACCGGGTTTTTAACCAGTTTCACAAATGGTGTGGGAAGTCTTGCTGGGTATTTTGTCAAGAAAATGTCAACATGGCTGGTCCCTGACGTAAGTCCAAGTTGGTAAAAGGAAATTTTTCATTTATTTGTTTCGCAGAAAACGATTCTTCAATACAGACATCTGTTTTGGGTATCGCTGTTAATAGCTGTAATCGTAAATACAGTCTATGTGATGTTTGGTACTACCAAACTGCAATCTTGGAACAGACCATTAGTAAAAAGAAAATAAAATTTTCAATCAAATGGGTTTTAATTTTTCTTTAATGTAGATGTTACATGCTTATTTTAATAGTTTACACTTTTTTCTCACTGTTGTCTTCATTTTTACTATTATAACCATTTGAAATTTTGCCCAAAAATTAGTCAAACCAAGTGAAACAAAAAATGCAATAATAATATTATTTTTGAATAAATTTGTTGATATTTTTATTTCTTATACCAAAATCTCCCAAAAAGCCTAAAATTTTAGTATAAAAACGTGCTTAAAAGCGTTGTAGAGCAAATTTTGGGGTTTCTCCGTATATTTATGTCTTAAATTTGCACAAAAACAAACAAATAACATCAATTTTAATTTATTTTTGTGATTTTTGAGCCTGTTTGGGCAAGATTTTGAAAAATCAATAAGTTTCTGGTTCAAAAACAAATTAAGATTCAATGATATGACAAATGTTCCGACATTGTCACACCATATAAATTATTTATATCAAAATACATTAAACTCGGATTTTTTTATGTAAAACTGTGAGAGGTTCGTGTTGAAACGATGGAGAAATGGAAAAATTATATCATTTTTAATTCAATTACGTTTGTTTTAGCAACAATTTAGATTTAATTTTGTAATTTTTTATTTTAAAAAGGTGCAAAAATAACATTCTGCGATTTTAC